TGGGTCAGGTGGCCCTTGGGTCTTCCTCACCCCAGGGTGCCCTGTGGGGCTTCGGGAGAGCTGCCCCTGCCCACGACACCCCATCCATCATCCCTCAGGGCTGCTGATGGCACCGATGGCTCGTTTCTCTCCCTGGTGTGACAAGGCGCCGGTTGATCCGTGTCATAAAATAGAATCACAGAATGGTTTGGGTTGGAAAGGACCTTTAAAGGTCCCCTTGTCCAACCCCCCCCCCCCCCCCGCCACTGGCAGGAACGTCTTGAATGTTTCCAGGGATGGGGCACTCACCACCTCTCTGGGCAACCTGTGCCAATGTTTCAGCACCCTAATTGTAAAAAGTGTCTTCTTTATGTCTGATCTGACAACCCTCCTGGGCATCAAGATGTGGGACCAGCATGGCCATCATTGGGGTGGCTCATGTAGACTTCCAGCAAAGGGCTCAGTTTTTGCTTTGGACTCCCGAAAACTTGCTGGAAGGGATCCCTTCAGGCATGTTTTAAGCAGCAATGTGATTTATTTTTTTCTAACTCTTTTGGGGTCATTTTGGTGCTGGTGGTGACTGCTGTCCGCCTGTGAGCAGAGCAGCCCACATCTCCTGGCAAATGTTGCTGGTATTTAGCACCTCAGAGAATCGTGCCTTTCCTATTGAGGTGTCAGCATAAATATGTTTATTTAGATTACTTAAATAAATATGTGTTTAGGAGCCTAAGTCTGGGTGCTCAGATCTGAGGCCAAAGGTAATTACGTTTTACTGTGTTCTCTGAAAAAGCCTTTTACTGCATGTGTGAGGCTTGCACATCTACACTTCAATCCATGTATTTGGAAAAACGCAGGATGATGTATTTGCATCACATGTGGGTGATGAAATACTTTCCAGCCCGTTAGTAGATATTAAACAACATCTCTTAGCAGTGAACACTTTAAAATTAACAGGTCTGGTTAAAATGCAATCAAGAGTCTTAAAAGAGTTGGCTTTTGCTTACTGAAATTAATTTCCAGTAATTCTCTTTGTTAGAGAAATTACAGGAGAATAGATGAAATGTTGATTTTGTGCTAGTTTTCTGAAAGAGCGTGATTTGGGTAAACGAAATCCAGGTTACCTGATACCAGCTTAAGGGAAAATAGGGGGGCACTGGTAATTAAGTGCTGTTAAAATTAGATGTGTGCATGTAGTATGTTTGAACACTTAATTTGACAGCGAGTAATATAATGTACCGATGACAAGGGCAGAGCAGCAGGACTGGGGTCGTGTGATAACCCAAACGCCTGAGTGTGTGGTGGTCCACGGGATGCTTGCTCAATGGAGGACCAGTTCTCTCCAAATCAGGAGCTCTGGAAAAGGTCACATCTCAGTGCCTGCTCAATTCAGTGTCCCGGTGGAAGGGGCAACCTCGGGAGAGCTGTGAGCGTGTCCTTTATCCGTATCGCCTGTCGGGGTGGTAGGTTATGCAGGAAACAAGGCTGCTGGAGGGAGGTCTGATGGTGGGGCTGGGCAAACACCTTCCAGTGAGAACTTAAAAGTGCAAACCGTTTAGCTTATCTGGAGGATTGACAAGGGACTTGATTGCAGTGTGTAAATATCTTTGTGGGAAACACACTGGTTACTAACGGACCTTTTACTGCTTTGGAGAAAATCGCTGGTTCTTTTTATGTCCTTACAATGAAATCAGATAAAATCCACTTAGAACCAAGACCCGTGTTTTGTAAAGGTGATAAACTCCTGAAACAGCCCGCCGAGGAACGGGGCAGCTTTTCATTCTGCACAGACCGCAGGAATCCTCGTGGGAGGTGTACCTGAACAAATGGGGGGCACTGGGCTACACGGGGGGGCCGCCCTACTCCAGGTGGTTTTGTGATCTCCTCTGGCTTTAAGCTTTCCAAACCCCTTGGTTTCAAGATAACAAAGGAAATTTTGTCTCTGGTTTGAGTGCCACCAAGGTCTTGAAAGGAGATGATGGGGAGTTTGGAAGGTGGCTGGAGGGGTTGAAGTCACCTGTCTATGGGATGAAGGACCCTTTGCCATGGACAAGAATTCACCCAGACCTGAGGATGTCTCACAGATCCCAGGAGTGCCTTGCTGGGTTCCTGCTTGAGAGGGATTTGTTTCCGTGCTAAGTCATCTGTGGTTGAAAAACAGATCCATTGTGAGTCGATGGAAAATAGATTATGCGAAATTGAATAAACATCGTTTCTTGGCCCGGGTACAAATGAGCCTGCACCACTGTGCCAAAGCTGCTGCCAGAGGGGAGAGGCAAGGCTTGTCGGGAGGGGTAAGGGTCGTGTTTGCTCTCCTCCACAGCCTTTGTTGGCCATGGTCCCTGCCCAGCAGTGTGAGGGAATCGCCAAACCTGGTGGCCGCTGGTGAGGTTGGAGAAGTGTCCATGGGAAAGGCCAGGCGTGAGTGGATGGGGAGGGTGCGCGGCCCCTGCGCTGCCCGCGGCACCTGGCCTGGGAGATCGGGCCTTATATGGGGCCCTGAGCGAAACAGCAAGAAGGGGACGGGTGCCAAAACTGGAGCGATAACATCTCAGAGCAGAACGCTCCCCCTTCAGGCCCGGGGAGGAAGGAGATGCGCTTCCCTGCCCTCCGTTTTGTTGGGATTTTTCAATTCAGTACCTTATAAAGTCATGTGTGACCCTGGGCAGAGTGGCAGTGAGGGATGCTCAGCACTGGGCTGTGTTTTGCACTGGGTGTGGGGGGCTGTTTTGCGGAGCCCACTCTGCCTATAGGCAGCTGCAGCTCATGCCTGCATCTCCTCATCCAAGCGATTGAAGCAAGTCCTGAAAGAACAGGGGGCTGTGGCTTTATTCCTGCTAAAAAATTCCCCTCTACACAGCAGCTGAAGGGCTGGAGCAGCCAGAGTACTACTGCAGCCTGGACTCTGCTCACAGGTTGGGATGCTTTGTGCAGTGCATCCTGGTGCCTTACCGCGCTGTGAGGTGTGTGGGTCCTGTGTGTCCAGGGATGTGTCCTCCAGCTCTTCCTGGGGCTGTGCTGGCAAGTCTGTCTGCAGTGACAGTGCCTTCTGCCACATGCAACCTCAAGGCATCCTCAAGCTGTACATTAGCATAACTACTAGGGAGCAATGACTTTAATTGCCTGATGCCACAAGGGTTTGGGATAACCAGCAGTGGTGGCACTGGTCACACTCCTTTGTGCTGTTTTGACTCCTACCTTCCACTATGATAGTCCTGGAAAACCACAGTCCTGGAATAAATGAGAGAGGGATATGAAATAATAAATATGTTTAAATGTTTCCCATGCATGCAGAAGACTTAGCAGCAATGTGAGCCTGTGTCCCAGGTCAGAACGTTTTTGTTGAGTCACCTGTGGTCAATGATGAGTTAAAGGCTTTCCACAATGCTTCTTGCAGGTTTAAATGGGATGCTGCCAAGACCAAACAGCTCCCGGGTCCTCGGTGCTGTTGCTAGCATCTGAGTTTATTAAACATGAATTTTAAAACTGTGAGGAACCTGTCACCATTTCCTATTTGCACTTCACTCTTCTTGGAAACAGAGAGGAGACAGGCTTGTTTCTCACAGCCGAATTGCTCAGTGTTTTATAGTCTCATTCTCCCTTTCTGATTTTCTAGCACCAACTCTGTTTAGGTTTCCATCACTGTGATGTTTAAAACTAAAACATACTGTTTTCCCTGAAACAATGCTGGGTTTTGTAACTTTCTTTCTAAACAAATCTGAAATGCTTTTGGCACATGTGCCTTGCCAGGCTCATTCTAAACAAACCCCGAGACAGGAATATATGGGTACGCCTGCGAGAGGCACCACAATAGCATCTGGAAATGGTGGGGCTTGTCTTCTCCTCCTCCTGCTGCCTTTTGTGCCTTAGCCCATCCTGTTTCCAAGCACTCCGAGGGGGTCGATTAAGAGGAGAGGAAGGAAAATGCCATGAATTTTAAGTGGTGTGAGCCTGGGTTCACCCAGCAAGACTCCAAATTGGCAGGGGCAGAGCAGTGTCTGCGACAGTTCAGCGATGGCCAATGTGCTTTTTTTTGCACAGCTGCTTTCCAGGCTGCTCCAGGGAAGCCACACTGCCCCAGGGAGCAGACATTGCAGGGGGAAAAAAACAGGATCTGAATTTTCTTTGCCTTCCTCCTCCCTGCCAGGAAGCACCAGGGCTCCAGCTGAGCCCGGCAAAGGCCCTGCAGCCTCTGGCTTCGCCTCCGCCTGGGCGATGCACGGCGGGTGGGAAGGGGAGGCGGGGGCTCACTGGCATCCCTGTACCTGCCACGCCGGTTTTTCTCCTCCACCTCTTGTTCTCTCTCAGCGGGCCGTGGTGGGGAATGGGCTCCCAGGGCTGGGCAGAGCCACACAGCAGCCAAGAAAGAGGTTTTTTTGGCTCCTGCTTCTTTCTGGAGGCGCAGGAACACGGGCAAGTATTGTACCCATCACTGCTGCAGCCATGGGGATGGTGGGGGGGCCTCTGGCTGTGCTGCAGGGTGGGTCACGGTCCTGCTGTAACCTGGCATGTGGCTGGGCACAGCGGTTGTGCCAGCACTGGGTTTTCCCATGCCCATGGAGGATAAGGAAGAGAGGCAGATTTTTGTGCTGGTAGACCTCAGTCTGGACACAGCACCCAGAACCTCATGCAGCACAGAGCTTTGAATGTCAAACCCTAAAAAGGCATTAAAAACCCCATTGCATCTTCACACCACATTAATGATCCTCCCTTATCACTGCTTATGAATGTGTCCCATTCTTCCACGCCATGGTTTTCCCCCAGGAGCATTCATCTAAAGGCTGGGTGCTCTTTCCCGTTTTGGCTTAAATTGGGGCAGACTCTGTTGGTTTCTTTGGCTTTGATGCATGAGAGTTGGGTCATGTGAGAGGGTCACGTCTGGTGAGTGAGTCCCATCACGCGGTAGATCCGGTGTCATGAGTTCGGGCCGCGGGAGGAGGACGCAGCCTCTCGCCGGGGGTAGAGCTGGGTGTCCCACAGGCGGGCACTGACCACCCTGTGTGCTTTCCTCCCCTCTCCCGCAGTGACGTCTCCATGCAAGATCCTCAAGTGCAACTCTGAGTTCTGGGCGGCCACGTCGGGGTCCCACCACCTGGGCGCGGAGGAGGCGCCCGAGTTCTGCACGGCGCTGCGCGCGTACGCGCACTGCACCCGCCGCACCGCCCGCACCTGCAGGGGCGACCTGGCCTACCACTCTGCCGTGCATGGCATAGACGATCTCATGGTGCAGCACAACTGCTCCAAGGATGGCCCCACGTCCCAGCCCCGCCTCCGGACATTGCCCCCCGGGGACAGCCAGGAGCGCTCCGACAGCCCCGAAATCTGCCACTACGAGAAGAGCTTTCACAGGCACTCGGCCACCCCCAACTACACCCACTGCGGGCTCTTCGGGGACCCCCACCTCAGGACTTTCACGGACACTTTCCAGACCTGCAAGGTGCAAGGGGCTTGGCCGCTCATAGACAATAACTACCTGAACGTCCAGGTCACCAACACGCCGGTGCTGCCCGGCTCCTCGGCCACCGCCACCAGCAAGGTGAGCCTTGGATGTGCCCCCAGGGGCAAGGACAGAGGGGCTTCTGAACAGCTTTTCTGTTCTCCATCTCTTCCCCCATTTGCACTTCTCCTTGGGGAGGGTAAGATGGAGCGTGAGCTCCTCTGAATTAGAATGTTTGTCCCTAAATATGAGACGTACGTTCTTCTTTTATCCCCAGCCTGTGGTTTCTTCTTGAGCACGTCCAGCCCCATCATGGTGAGCAGGCTGAGGATGCTGCAGCTCAGGGGGCCACCATGGCCAAGTGGGGGATTGCAAATTTAAGAGGGCTCCCACCTTGGAACTCCAGATTGCTGGACAGCCAGCCCAGGAATCATGGTAGCACTTCTTGGGGGACACCCAAGGCCCAGGCAAACCCAGGACTGCCCTCCAGGGAAGCTGCAGCTTGCAGGGAAAAGGCTGGAGGGAGCTGAGCTCCTCGTCCTGCCTTCCCCTTTGCCCAGGCTTGTAATTGTCTCTGTGGTTTGCAGCCAAGTCAAGGCATTTTGTGGGGAACAGTCTGTTCTGGAGGTGCTTTGACAGCCTAAATAAACATCCTGAAGGTACGAGGCAAACACTGAGAAAACCCAACTGAAAATGTGCTGCTGTCATACAGCAGGACTTGTGTGGCGCGGCCTCAGCTCCAGGAGAGACCTGGGGCTGAGGAACTGGTGTGCTGCCCCAAGGTGCACAAGCTTTAAAGCTAACAGGGCAATTTTTGTGCCAAAAAAAAAGGGAGGCTCAGCAGGAGGCATCTTCTTGTTTTTGGAAAATGTCCTGTCCTGCCACGTCTGGGAGTTCCACGTCTTCTCCCTGTGTGTTGGGAGAGAAGCGTGTTGGATGGGCTGCTTCTCAGCTTGCATTGAGGTTTTGACCTGTCCCTGATAAACCTCCTAGGAGATACTCTGAACTCCTTACTCGCTAAAAGACATCGAAAACTGCTGAAGCTTGCAAGTCTGGCTTGAGGAAAGTGGTCCTTAAGGACCTGCTGGGATCGCAGGATCACCATCTTAATTGAGCCTTTTCACTCCTTATCTGCCTCACGGGCTTGTGGTGAGGAGCTATTAGTCATGAGATGTGCAGCATGAGCTGTGGAGAGCACTGCTGTGTCATGGCTGGAGGACTTTATGCTGTTGGAAAGGATGGGAGCACTCAGCCCATAGGGCTCTTTGTGTTCTCTGCTCACTTCTCCAGCCCTACCCCACTCTGGCCAGGTCTCAGTCCCCTCCAGGGACCACAAGGAAGGAGATCCCCTTTACCACTTCTCCCTCACAGGCAGAGGTGCAAGAAGAGCAACTCTGCCAGAGGTGGAAGAGGAAGCGTCGTTTGTGTGGGAAGAAGAGCGAGTTGCTCTTCTTCCCATGCAAACTCTACTGATCCTTCTCCTCAGGTCTGCCCCATAAAACCAGGTCAGCAAGGGAAGAGCAAGTGCTGTGAGGTCCTTCCTCTGGCAAGGGACCTCAGCCAGGGGTGAGGTTGGGCTCGGTTTGTATCATAGAATCACAGAATTAATTAAGGTTTGAAAAGACCTCTGAGATTATTGAGTCCAACCATTAACCCAGCACTCCCAAGGCCGCCACAAAATCACCCCTAGAAGGGCCATCCCACAGGAACACACTGAACACGTGTGTGCCTGTGTGGTTCTGCGTGGTTGAGGTGGAGCATGACATGTTCTAAGGCCCACTGGGGAAGACTCGGTTGGTCTGTGAGTGGCCAGGGAAGGGAAGAGGTCCAGCCCTTGGGATGTAAATGTCATGGGAGTGAGAGAAAAAGCTCCACTGCCTCTAAGGGAGTCAGAACTCATCCCCCGCTGCCATCTGGCAGCCCTGGAGGCGAGGCAGTGCTGCGTGCACAGGCATGCCACCACAGGCCTGGGAGTAGGGATACTCCACCCAGCTCCAGCTGCAAGGAAGATCCTGCGTTGGGCCTGGAGATAACATTGCAGATCCAGGTGGTACATTCACTTCAGCCTTTGGGTCTTGACTCCATACACCCTGTCCATATCCCTTTGCTGGAGCAGGATGACCATGTCTGGGTGGCTAAAATTGGGGCTTTTAAGCCTGAAGCACTTGCCCATGAGCTGAAGGTCACTCTCCCATCCAGACTGAGCATCCAGCTCATCCACCTTCCACACCGCTCCTGGTGGCGGCTGTGTCCTCTCAGGTGGTCATCAGTGGTTGTAACCCTGTCCCTTTCCTCCCCCACAGCTCACCATCATCTTCAAGAGCTTCCAGGAGTGCGTGGATCAGAAAGTGTACCAGGCAGAGATGGACGAGCTCCCCGCTGCCTTCGCCGACGGCTCCAAGAACGGTGGGGACAAGCACGGAGCCAACAGCCTGAAGATCACCGAGAAGGTGTCGGGCCAACACATCGAGATCCAGGCCAAGTACATCGGCACCACCATCGTGGTGAGGCAGGTGGGGCGGTACCTCACCTTTGCCGTGCGCATGCCGGAGGAGGTGGTGAACGCCGTGGAGGACCGGGACAGCCAGGGCCTCTACCTGTGCCTCCGTGGTTGTCCACTCAACCAGCAGATTGACTTCCAGACCATCCGCTCGGCTCAGGCCACGGAGGGTCGTGCTCGCAGGAAGGGGCCCAGCCTGCCGGCCCCCCCCGAGGCCTTCACCTACGAAACGGCCACGGCCAAGTGCAGGGAAAAGCTGCCCGTGGAGGATCTCTACTTCCAGTCCTGCGTCTTCGACCTCCTCACCACGGGGGACGTCAACTTCATGCTGGCTGCTTACTATGCCTTTGAGGATGTGAAGATGCTTCACTCCAACAAAGACAAGCTGCACCTCTATGAAAGGACACGGGAGCTGGCCCCGGGCAACATGGCTCCCACAGGAACACATCCTACCCTCTGGGTAGCACTGCTGTGTTTGAGTTGGTTGTGCTTGTTATAGAGGTTTGCTCCATCACACCATGGAGAACAGGCAAAGGGGAGCAGGAGGGAACCAGGGATGAGATGGAGGTGCTGGAAACCGCACGGGTTGTCCTCAGACCTCAGTCTCTCTCTTGGCCGCAAGTCCTCCACCTTCCCAGCTCTTGCCTGGGAGGAACATGCTGCCAATGGGACCGGTCAGGAGTTTTTGATGGACTGTACCTTGTCTGGACCTTCCTGACCTCTCCCCTCCTCCTACTCCCAGTAGAGTGGGTACTGAGGAACCCTTGTAGCTCCTCTCCTCGTAGCGCTCCCCCAGGTCCCAAAAATGCACGTGGTGACTGTGACACTGACGTGCACGGACGTGGCTTTGTCTTCGGAGGCCAGAGCCCGTGAGGAGGGCACAGAGCAGCACAGCAGGGCTGGACATCCTAATCGCCATGGCTGGGCTCTGCTTTTTGGGCATGTCCTGCCCACAGCCCTGTTGTTGCAGAAGGTGATGCAGAGGGCCAAAGTGGTGGGGGATGATCCCACGCTTGCTTGGCTGCTAGTGCCAGGCATCTTCTGAGTGGAAGGAGGATGTGTTCCTCAAGCCTTGGCCTGCGTTTGCTGTGGTACAAAGGGCATCTTCCGTTCCAGCCAGTTCATCCGGCTGATTCACTCAGTAGTTTCATTCCTGTCTCCCTTGTCTCTGCCCGGACCCACCGTGGACTCTTGATAGCAGTGGGAGAAACCTGGCCAGTATTCAAGTGGTTCCTGCAACTTCTGCCCAGCGTTGGATGAGTTTCTCACAGCATTTGCTCTCTGGTCCCCTAAAACTGGCAGCGGGGCAGCTGCTCAGTGGGAGACCCAATCCACACATCCCTCCAGCCCCTCACCAGCTCGGTCTGGCCCTGGGGTGGAGCAGGAGTGTGGCACTCCTTTTTTGCTGCTAGGTCTCTGCTCTGCTCCCCATCCTGGGGCCACGGCTTGCAACCCCATTGCAGACCAGTTGCACCTTAAGCCGTTCTGGGCTTGAATCAGAAATGGGGCAATGTTAGAAATCCAGCCAGGAGATGGGATGCAGCAGAGGACCCCCCCCAGCTGCCTCCAAATGTCTGTTCCCTGTCTCGAAACCATCAATAGTCTCCTTCCCCACCACGTAATGCTGCCCATCTCCTCCTCTCCATGTTCCTCTGTGGTTCACCCCATTGCTCACTGAACAAATCAAGACTACCTTTGGTCTGCGCCTTTGAGACCTCCTGATGGGTTTCCCCTCCTTTCCTCAGGGGGAAGTTCCCAGAAACAAGCCCCAAAACGTGTCACACTTGGGGGCACCTCTTTGCTCTCATGGGAGGTCTCTGGGCATGATGAGACAAGCTATAGCACCAAAAGAGGTGGGAACAGGCTAGGTTTGGCTGGTGCCAAGAGGCAGCCTGGTGTAAATACTCAGCGTGACTATTCATTGTGTCCTAACAGCTCTAGAGCTCCATTTGTAAAGCAGCAGAGAAATGCAAACTTGTGTCAATGGATGTAATTTATATTGTCTCTTTAATATATAGAGCCCTGGCATTGATCTCGTGTGACTGTACAGATGAAGAGATGTAATTGGTTTTTAAATGTTTAAGGAAAGAAAAGAAACAAAAAGATGTGTTTACTACTTTGCTCCTTGCTTTGTTTGCTGGTGCCCCAGATACTCTGTTTAGGGAAATTTTGAAATAAGGATATCACAGTTTGGAGACTCTGAGGGGAGCAGCCACTGGACCATGGCACAGGACAGTTTAATTCCCCAATGCACTAATTGTTCAGCCAGGCTGATTTGGACTTTTTATTTCCTTTGTTCAAGGAAAAAAAAAAAGTTTTTATCTTCCCTAGAAATTCAAAACTCAAGTTTTAAAAGCCAAAATTTGGGTCAGAGGAAACATTAGTTTCTTGCAGTGTTGCCCCATATCTAACTGCAGCTGTGCGCAGCATCCCTCTGAAGTCACGGTGCTGCTTGAAAGCTGCCTGAGCTGGCCCAGCCTCAGTGTGCCAACAGGTCAGTAATTCCCTTAAGACCTCCCTTTCCTGTAAAACAATCACCCCATGGCACAACGTGCTGTGGTTTAGGGATGGTTTCCACCCAAGGAAAGTCTGGTTATGGCGTGGCTCAGTCCCTCTGTCTAGGTGGGCGCTCCAGTGGTGGCCACTGGCATACGGTGGTTGGGGTATCCCTATTTTAGAAGCAAACAGTGAAGCACTTTATTTTGGTTGTGTTTGACCCAGTCCTGGTTAAAGGTGAAGTGTGGCCAAGAAGGACCCGATACTTGGAAACAAAAGAAAAAAAAATACATAGGCAAAGGGGGGGCATTATGAGAAGGCCCCCCCCACCTCCTCCCTGCGCTGAGACCCTCGGGAGTGTCACCATATGTACATACTGTAAATTATTTATTGAGAGAAACGCAAGTAAAGTTTGAGGTTTTTTGACAATAAACGAGTGGGTCTCGGTTTGTTCCCGGTGTGTTGCCTGGTGCTGTTCCCCATGTGGGATGTGAAGGCTGCCCCATTTCAGCTTTCACTCCAAAGCATCTCTCTCCCACCTCTAACCCTCAGAGAGCTCATTTCTGTCCTGAATTCTGCGAATTTCGTTCTGAGTTTGATTTATCTACAGCCAAATGAGAAAAATGAAAAGGGGGTTGGGGAAAAAAATATAGGTAATAAACCATTAGAACCTTGCCTCGCTGGGGAAGCAGATGTGCAGCAATGGAGTCTGAGGGGGTGCCATTACCCTTCCCCTGCTCACCCCAGCAGATTGTATTGTGCATCTGGTAATGGTAATTCCTCCATTCCACCTCTCCTGTCCCGTTTGGGTTTGTTGCTGCCCTCTAATGAGGAAAAGCAAAATTGCAATTTTTTTTTTTAGTTAAATTTTCCATTTTTGAAATCTGAAGGACTTCTTGTCACAGCAGCTGGGCACAGGGACATTCTGAGGGCAGGTGGAATACCAGCACCAACTCAAAACACACATTATTTGGCCAAATCCATGCAATGACGCCCAGTATCCGAGATCTGAAACCTGACCTCCCGTTCCTTCAGAGCCCTGGAGAACTAAAAGCTTTTGGAAAGAGCCAAACCCAGGCCCTCTGCCACACGCTTCACCAGAGCTCAGGTTTAGCCAAATCTGCAAAGTCATCTAAAAGGTGCCTAGAGCACAGGGACTGGGGGGGAGAGGGAGGTGTCTCTCACTCAATGGTCCCCTGCTCTCCAGCAGCAGGCAGGCAGCGAGGGGGCAGCAAGCAGGCAGCACCCACACATCCTGGTGGGACAAGGTGCTGATGTGAGGGCATGGTGACCCCCGAGGGACAAGGATGCCCCATCCTCATTAACCACACATGGCACTGAAGCTTCCCCAGGAGGTGAGCAGGAAAGGCACAGGCCATGCAGGGACACTGGTGGTGGCAGCAATGGTCCTGTGGCACCTCGGGAGGTTCAAACTGCTCTCAGACGGTGCTTCGTGGACAGTGAAGTGCAGCCCCCAGAGTCACATCCCATCATCCTGCAATGGACCACAGCTCAAGTGCCACTGCCTGTGATCTGGAAGGGGTTTCCAGCCCCTCTGTGGCTGTGCCTGCCCATCCCCTGGCCTTGGGCCACTGCCTCAGGTGGTCTGAGCTTTGCATCCGAGCACTCGGGGTGAGCAGCCGCTCCGCACACCTGGCTGTCCTGTCCAGGAACAGCCACAACTGCAAGATATTGTTGTTCACCAAAAAATGGCTTTTTTTCCGGGAACCAGCTGCCCTCTAGAGGGTCCACTCTGGCATAAAGCACAGCAGGGGGGCTTCCCAGCCTTCCCATCCCTTCACTGAGGTGGGTGCAAGGCAGGGCTGGGGGTCCTGCTCTCCGTGCCAGCATTGCCGGACACCTTGGGTCCCCTTGCCAAGGTGAGCCAGCAGGAGTGACCACAGCTCCATCCTGTGCTCCCAGCCGGAGCCCCAGCCCTGCCCAGCACCCTGGGGTGGCCATGGCACTGCATGGACCACGTCCTTATGGATGATATGCTTCTGTGGGACTGACTGGACCTGCCTGGCAGTGAGATGTGGGGAGGGGTCATTTCTCCATCAGCTTTGAGAAGGATTTAACTGTTCTTAGTGTGGTGCTGTGGAGATGGGTGGGCAGGGGGATGCTGGGCTGAGCTGTGCCAGGAAGATGGTGTCCCCAGCATCAGGGTGCCCATATCCTTACCTGTCTCCTTAAATTAAAAAAAAAAAAAAATTAAAAAAAATCACTGGCCTCAGGTAGATTCACCCCCCTGTGCTCCAGGCACGTACGCCCAGACCAGCTCCCTGCAGCCCCTGTGCCTCCCTCCAGCCGAGCCCCTCTCCCTGCCGCAGCCCCATGGCTAACAGCCAGTCACTCTTTCCATTAGGAAATCCATTTTTCAGGAGCATATAACTCAGCTGTGAAATTTCACTCTTGGCTGAAACTTGGCTTAGCGGCAGAGAGGCTGGGAAGGGCTGGACCCAGTGGCTACAGGTGTGAAAAGTGCTTTTTACAATGAGCTTTTATAACTTGGGAGAAATGGCTCCAATCCCTGCTCCCTGCCCTGCCGTGTGGGCCTCAGCATGAGCGGTGGAGGGTAACGACCAAACCAAAGCAGCCCACTGGGTGCCATCACGTCCCACCTGGGGAGAGGCACATCCTGCCCAGGAGGAGCCAGAGACAGAGTGGAGAACTCCTTTTAGAGAATGGGGAATTCTCCCCAGAAAAGGTCAAAAATAAGTTTACACGTGTCCAGAGATCCAGAAAATATGGAGGCTGGATAAACACGTGAACTTTGGTATCATCACAGTGAAATCCTGGTGGATATGGGTGAGGGAATGCCTGGCTCCTCCTGATCAGGTGGAAATTCCCATCCGAAAGGGTTTCCAAGTCTCTATCACTGCAGACTGTGAAACTACATAAAAGCAGCCAACAAGAACATGCTTATTCCTGCACAGTGAAAATATCCATCGTGGCTTGCAGGAAAGGGCCCTGTCATCCCAAAACAGCCCCAGTGTCAGGCTCTCACCCCCCAGATCTGCCTTTGTACCCAGGGGCCGCAGGACCCCCCAGAGACACCATGCTGGGGCCGTTCTGAAAATCTCAGTAACACTTTTTAATATACAAGAATCAAAAGTACAGCAGTTTTACAAGGTAGGAAAATTTCATACATACTATATAAACAACATATTTACATCAGAAATCACTAGGACAGTGGCATTTCTTTCACAAATATAAATTAATATTAATTACTGTTTTTAGTCAACAGGTTTAAAAGTCCGCATTTTTTACAGTAGGAGTCCTTCTCTCCCTGGAGGGGAGGCAGAGGTTGGGAGGAAATGGGTGAAAGCAGAATAGTATTTTTGTGAGGATCACAAACCGTTCACACAAGGACTTCAGTGCGTTGTTACACATCCATTTTGGTTGGGACCACATCGCCTGTCCCCACAGCAGGTTTTGGTCTGCAGGACTTGCAACATGTGAATTCATAACTTTACACCATTTCCAAAGAGGTCAGGCTAAAAAACTTTTTTTTTTTTTTTCAAATAAAACCCCATCAAGTTGGTACTTTTTCCTGCAAAGTGGCTGGAGGGAATCCAGCAGGCGGTTCGGAAGGAAGAGCTGTACCTGGTGTTGACACAAGCACCACAGGGAAGTTTATGGCTGTGGACGTGTCCCCTCTGATCCCACTCATATCCAAGCGACTGGGTCTGGTCATGGTCCCTATGCTGAGGGGACATAAAATGCGTGTGTGTGTGCTCAGGGAGAACTTTCTCCCAAATCTCATTCTCCAGCTTCACTAAAACCAAACTCAGCAAAGACCTGCCCACCACAAGTGGACAAAACGATGTGCCTTCAGCATCACTATGAAGTGACAGCAGGGACAACTCTCTGGTGGACAAGCATAAAGCTGTTGCTGTTGCACAAGAAGGAAACCCAAACCAACCTCATACCTGGAACCCACGATGTGCAGAAACCCCAACCAACCTCATACCTGGAACCCGTGATGTGCAGAAACCCCCACATCTGGACACAGAAAATGCCTCTTGCCGGGGTTCAAAGTTTTCCTGCACCAACCCTAACACTGGTTGGCCAGTATTGCCTTTGCTACAAGAGTATGGCACGAACTTCCCACCATGACAGCACCGCTTGGGGACAAAAAGAGCAATTCTCTTTGCCCCTTCTGAGGTTTCTTCCATTTTCACATTAAAAGCTAATACCTCTGAAAAGAAAGGACCTCTTTGTTGAATGCCACAGGCTGCAGTCACAGCTTAGTGGGAAAAGCTGCGGAAACATGCTCTCTCCACACCTCCCACTGCCTGCCAGCTCCAAGGGGGACTGTGGAAGACTTGCATTAACCTCACCCAGCACAGGTAAACACAAGTGTAACACTTTCTCAGGGCAGCAAGTGCCCCTAAGGAAACAAAACTGCCCTGAATTTGGTGGAAATCTTGCAAAATAAAAACAAAAAGGAAGAAAAACCCTTCCCGTGTGTCCCGTTAAAGCAGCAGGCTCAGAAGGAGTGACGGCAGCAGATTTCCAGGGATACACTGCGTGGAGGGGACATGGGATATATTAGTGTTGGTTTGCATGCGCCTTCCAAGGCACTGGCTGGAGTCAGGAAACCAGCCCTGAACACCCACCTGCCCTCAGTCTTTTGGGGAAAGGACATCACAGCTTATTAGGGTCAAATACTGGCATCTTAACAGGAGGCCCAGCTTCTATCTCTCATCAAAGAGGGGAGTCTGGAACAGCCTGGTCTTTAACACTGAGCTCTGGGAGGTGATGCATCCCCAGACACCACGTTCTGGGCAGTCTGTCTTTTGGGAGAGCTTTGTGGTGTCCAGGGAACTCCAACCTGAAAAATAATCACCCAAACTACTTCTGGCCAGCAATCTGTGCACAACCACAACAAAGTCCAGGCTGGATGCTGGTTTGCATCAAATGCTGTGGCTTGAATACTTGGAGTGTTTGCCCTGAAGTCCACTGAACTGGGCTGCAGACTCCTCTTTTCCCTCTGCCATGCTGGGCTCTTAAGACGTTTGCTCCAAGGATCAGTCTTGAATTCCTTATTTGCTCCCTGCTCACTGAGGTGCTCAGTCCCCAGGCTTATTTCCAATTTAGACAGACAGAAGGTCTGCAAGTGCAGGTACTTTTAGCAATTCTGAGTCACTGCTGGAAGGGTGGCAGGAAGGTGACTATTCCTGATCAGTGGATTCCTATTTCCCTTTGTTCTACCATCCTTTATCCTTCAATTGCAGTAAAGGTTTGTGATCACTGCTTCATGAAGCACAGAGAGAAATTATTTGCCCAAAGACCAGAGCACTTCAGTGGGGGGGAGATTGGAAGTTCCAGGATCCCCAGATGCCCAGAGCTATCTTTTGATCTTGCAGCTCCCAGCCAGCACCTGTTAGTTCCTGGACCACCCAAGCTGCCCATGCCAGAAGAGAAGCATTTTGTTATGAATTCCTGATCCCTGTCCACTGGGAAATACTGTTCTCACCCCGATTTCTTTACTACTGGTTAGAAGTGAACTAAGCCTTTGCTAAGGAAGTCAGTCTTTTTTTCACATATCCCAACTCCCGCCCTCCCCAGAGTCAAGATTTGCCAGTTCCAGCCCTGGAGATGGGAGGAAGATCACCCCCAGCTCTCCTGTTGCAGAGGACAACAGAAATCAAAGCAGAGCCAGTTTCTTGAAATGGATAAAGACATGGAAATGATAACATGGCCAGGAAAGTGATGGATTGTCACCAGCATAGCTCACTCTGCAGGGACAGTTAAGTCCCTCTTTCAACCAAAGTTGGCTGCTGAGGGTCTTTCTCGTCCCTCCTTGAATACATCCTCCCATTGCCCCATGCTGGTTACACACAAATCCAGCCCAACCAGTTTATCCTCAATCCCAAAGCAGCATCTCTCATATAACGTCAAGTTGGAGCAGGCTCACAGCCTTCTGCACCATCCTAAGCAGCACTGATCTGCCTTCTCCTTCTGAGGAAACACTGGTTGGGGAAAATTCCCTTGGGTCCATTGGACTGAGGAAAACAAAAACAAAACAAAGACCGAGGCAGCAAGGCTGGTTCCATGATAGAACAGTTCAATGGTAAAAAAGGGGAAAGGAAATGGGAATCCAAACCAGAATCAAGAATTAGGGAAAATCTTCCTCCACCCACTCCCCCATAATCCTCCTTGACCCAGCCAGATGATAGCAGCATGTTCAGAATTTCTCATTGCTGGCTTGGAGAAAGCAGCCACCGCCACACCAATCCAAGTATTTCAGACGTGCGCTTTCCCCTCTCAGTCTCTTCATGCTTTCCGAATGTTCCAGTTATAATCTGGATTGTTTTTCTGTTCCAATGACCTATCCAGAGGTGACCTGTGATCGAGAGGTGACTTGGAATCATGGGGGGATTTCTGAGAGGGGGGAGAGCGAGGGTCCGACACTGCAGGGTGAGATGGAGGGAGGGGCTGTTTGTAATCCCCCAGTTTGTCTGTGTGGAAGGACCTGTAGTGGTCCGAAGGTCCTTGGCCATGGTATCCCATGGGCGGCCTGTGATCAGACATCCGTCGGAAATCCTGCTGGTGGTAGTTCTGAGGCCTGAAGTCATCGGATCGTCGACGTTTGGACTCGTGGTGGTGCCTGCGGAGGGAAAACAAACGGATGGAGATCAGTTCCCCAAGGCAAGCCTGGCCAACACAGTGCATCCTTTCGAACTCCTCCCAGCCTGTCTGAGGTGGAAGGGAGTTAATTACCTGTCATAATAGTCTCGGTGGCCCCTGTGGTCTCGGTCGCTGTTGTACTGCTCGTACGGCCTCTTGCGGGAGAGGTTGTTTGGTCTGTAGTTCCCGGAGCTCCGGTGGGGATCCCCCCGCGACCGCCGGTCCCCATAGTGGTGGTCCTTGTACCAGTGCTGCTCGTACTGGTGGTGCCTCTCCCCACCCCACATCTGGTTGCTGTTGCCACCATAGTTGAACTTTCGATCCCTCTGCCAGTCTCCTCGGTCTGCCATGAGGAAAGAGCACCTGTAAGTCTCTTCCATACTTTAGTTTAAGCCCATTACTTTGCTGAACTCTCACAGAAATTGTAACTATTGATGCCCCTTTAACTTTCTGCTCCCTAAACTACGTGGGCCCAATTTTCTTCTCTGAATTTCTTTATCATTATTCTGACAAATCTTATTGTGTCCCATTCTTATATTCTTTTCCTCACTACATCATCATGTTTTCTAGTCCAGCAGTAAGTACAATGGTAATATTTGTTCTATCCCATCACCTTTACACGTGACCAGTCACAATTCCCAGAAGGATTAGTGTCCAGGAGCATTAGGTTAGAAGGGGTGGTTTCTCCTGGCTTGCCAGCACTCACCTGTGTTGCTGAAGTGTCTCTTGTTTGGGTGGCCATAGTTGTCACGTGGGTGCCCGTGCATCTGCTGCTGGGTGTGGGAAGGGGGCATATGGATCTTCTGGGAATGAGGGTTGTGAGGCACGTGAGACTGGGACATCACGGAATCACGGCTGGAGCCTGAAGGCTCTGGGCGGAACGGCTTCTTCATGCTGGACGTGTCCTCCTTCTTTTTCTGCTCCTGCAAGGTGGAAGAGAGGGATACAGCTCAGCTGGTCTTCCATCAAAAGATTTGGACTCTGTGTGGAATGGCCTTGTCTGTCGGGCTCTGGATTTTCCTGCCTCTTTGAAGACTTGGTGAACCAACTGTGCCCGAGCACGGTGCAAACGTGGTAGAGGACAGGCACAGTTTTGCAGCTCTGCTTCTACACTTATCTCTACAGGGCAGCATGCCAGGCTTTTCACTCTAAAGGGCAACTCAACACCATGTGCCACACCAAACAATGCTTTTTCTTGGTCAGAACAGCCAGGACAAAGTGACCAGAAATGCCACATGAAAGAGAAGGCTAATGCAGCCAGACTGTCTAGATGTTGAGAAAATCACACACTGACAACAACAACTAAGAACACCCACAGTAAGAGGCAGAAAGTATTGGCACTTTAAGTGTAGCAACATTTAAAGACAGCAATCAAAGGAAAGGCACTTCAGCTCTCACCTCCTCTTCCTGTGATCTTTTCTTATGAGCCATCTTGTAGAGTTTGTGTAGTTTTCTGGCATCAAATTCTGTGAATTTTGACACAAATATCCATAGGTTCCTAGAAGGACATGAAAGTTTTCTGTTAATTGCTACATTCAGTTAATTGTTAACTATCAACTGCTTCCAAACCAACACCAAATCAATTTGACTTCCTCTGGAAAACAGTCTCAACCCAGCACAGGACAGGATGATCAGGAGGGCTGGAACCAAGTTCCTCAAAGTAAAATAAAGAGGTTTGCACTGGTTTATCTAAACTACCTTTGAAATCCAGGTAAATGAAACCAACACTTGAAGAAAAAACCCTCAGCTGGGACTGGCCATGGAAAACCATCCCTGGAAGTGTTCAAGGCCAGGTTGGATGGGGCTCTGATCAACCTGGTGTAGTGGAAGATGTCCCTGTTCATGGCAGGGGGGTTGGAACTAGATAATCTTTAAGGTCCCTCCCAACCCAAAACATTTCATAATTCTGTGATTCTATGGACTGAGTGGGCTAGAGAACACAAGATTTCACTGGTTAAATAACAGGCAAATGGCACATTCACTCAGCAGCCTCTAACTACCACTTCAAAATATCCTAGACCAGCCAAGGAAAACAAAATGATCCCTCACCTTCTCCATAGCTTGATGTGATCCTGGTCAGTGTAGGCTTTAAGGCACTCAGAGATGCGATCACCAATTTTTAGGAGGCAGTTGCGTGTGTGCTCCAGCTGTTCCTGAACTGTCAGTCCTTTATCAGGCTTATCAAGCTGCTTCAGTGCTTTTTTGACTGGTCTCATCCTTTCCTTGCACTTGAAAGAGCAATAGAGAGGAGAAAGTGATTAATTTGGCACAGGTCTCTACACTGTTCCCCTGTTAATCAGAGCTGCAAGAAGTTCATTAGAACAAGATATTAGCTTTATCTGACCATTAGACAAGGAGAAATCAGCTATAAAATAGCAATTTGTTAGACATGCTGCAGATAATAATCAGGAAAAGACAAGAGTCTCCCCACCTCCATTGCCTCTGCCTTTTAGAGGGGAACAATTTGCCTTGCAAGCCATAACCACACATGGTCTGCTCCCACACAGATCCCACAGCAGGTAGAGAAGCATATCCAAGTATCCACACACTGAACCAGCAGCCCCAGCTGAAGGAGAGTTCACTCCTTTAATGCTTTAATGCTCATTAAATGCTTTAATGCTCCCTTTTACCAAAACTGGCAGACATGAGATGAAAGCATCTTTTTCAGCTGTGCACATCAACACGGGGCACAGACAGGAAATCAGACAGGTTTCTACTGCCTGACTGAACCTTCCATGTATCACAGAGGGAAAGTTATAGAAAAAGACAAAAAATAACACAGACCTGAGGCGAATATACAGCTTTGCATTGAGAGAACTGTTTTTAAGAAGTGGTATTTCAGCCAAGGAGAATCTGCCATGACAACTTTTACTAAAAGGCTATTTTTGCAACGAGCCTTGTGGGCACATTTGCTGCGAGAGCATTTACACAGCTCTGTACCTCCCAGAGCCATACAAGGTCACCCTGTAAACTCTATTTCCCCGCCTGGAAGAGCCCCACATGGCTCCTTGGCTTCTATAGGGAAGGGATTGCCACATAAGGCTGCAGGGTCTTCTGTAACCCAGGGCTGCCAAATGACAGGTGGGAACTTACCAGCTGAAGCAGAGAGCCCTTGTGCTTGCTCTGCTGACATGCTACCAGTGGGTAGCACAGAGGCTGGTGGTCAGATCTCATCCAGGATTGTCCTGCCCTGCTCACAGATTGGCCAGAGGAAATCCCTGTGGGGTGCTAGGAGAGGGTTCACACCCTGACACCTACAACACGTCCCTTTAAGCAAACCCCAACTGCTTTGGGCTGGACTCCCTGCCACTGCCCTCCCATCTCCCAAGGAAAATACTCACTATGCTGAATGTTTCTTGGTCCAGATCATCATCCTCATCTTCGCCAATGGGGATCGGTTCACTCCCTGCAGTAATGTGGACGGGACCTTGTGATCTCTTCCCTTTGCTCCCAGATTTGGCCTCTCCACCTTTAGGCTTTACAAGGACAAATTACACACATCACACGATGAGCCAGACTGCAGGATCCCAAGCGATCCAACTAACAGCCTCTGCACTATTGTTACTGGCAGTTGTTAAACCCTGGGCACTGCTCCTACAACTTTCCTCCCAGAATCAAAAACTGTTGAGCTGCAATGGCTCTATTTAGCTTTACATCACCCCTAAGGGAGCAGAGGGAAGTCAGAGCCAACAGTTTGGACATGAATGTGATATTCACACTCATGGAGAGAAAACCAAGGGCTGAAGACTTGGAAGAGAGTTTAAGTGAAAGAATATCCCTCCCTTGCAAAGGACAGAGCTCAGGGTAGTCTCAGGTCTACAAGGATCTGCAGCTTCATGAGATGTCACTAGTTCTCAAATCATGGCCTGTTTATGTAAAATTTTACTTATATGACTTATCTGCAGCTTATCAAAGCCATACCAAAAATCACTGGAAAGCAAACTTTCCCCTACATATGCAACAAAACTTCTTGGTTTGCACTTATGACCTCAGTGTCAAAGCACACTGGCATGCAGCACATACCTGTTCCTTGGACAGGTACTTCAGGTCAGTGGAAGGGGGGTAAAAGCTCCCATAACAATTTGAACCCAGCCTCAGGGCAGTTGTACCCAAGATTCAAGAGACATTTTAGTCTCCAACATACCAGGGATGTTGAAACACCCATTCTGGTTGAGTCCTGAACAGTGACAATGACAACTTTTCAGTCTTGATGGTGTGGGTAGTTGGGTCATTTGGGTAAGTTTAAATTAAAGAGGAATAAAGACAAGGAGCTGCCAACTCTGTGATAAATCACAGCTGAACAGAACTTTGATCTGAGTGCTCCAGGTTCTTCCCCTGTTCTTCCTTAACATCAGCTCTGTGGCCATATCATTGTCACAGGGATAGCTGTACTTTAAAGGCAGACTGACAAAATCTCTTCCTTTTTGCTCACATTTCATCAACCCTTAGGACATACTGTCTTTTCTACTTTTTATGGCAAGAAGGGCTGAAAACAGGATACCACCTCACCCCCCAGTGCTTCATTGATGTCTCTTCACACAGGGCCTTTCATGAATCCTAAGTCTCACAGTTTGTCCTTTTGCTCAGGGACTTTCCTATCAAACTACTTCTGAGAGTACCACATACCTTCTCTTTCTTGTCTTTTGTTTTCTTTTTCTCTTTATCACTTTCCTTTTCTTTCTTAGAGGATGTCTGTTTTTCCTTGTTCTCTTTGTTCTCTTTCTTCTTCTGTTTCTTTTTCACCGGGCTCTTGTCCAAGCCATCCTCCTAGAAAACCAGTCACAGCACAAAGTTGGAGTCCTCACCTCATGTGCACTTTCTTCCAACAAAACTTACATCCTTAAAACACAGGCAACTTTTGAGGTACATCCAAATTTGCCCTCACACCTCTTTAACCAGACAGCAAGCCCTGCTTAAGCAGCTGCCATCCACCCAAACTTGACAAAAGGGTATAAAAACCAGAGGAGCCCCAGTCTGTGACAAGCTGGCAAGCTGCAGATCTGCACTGCTTTCCTGTGCCAACTGTGCTCCAGAACGCTCAGCCCCTGAGGTAGATACTGATCAGCACATGAACAAAAAGCCTTAGACTAAAAGCCAAACCACTCAAAGACAGAACGTTTTCTAAGCAACAGCATGACCTTGGTAAACTCCAACTTCACCACTGGCTGACATGCCCAAAAGGAGAGAGAAACAATTCTTCTTTCTCTCCTTTATAAGGGCAGCAGGCTTTGTCCTAAGACAACCTTTCCTCCAAGTCAATATGTGGATGTGTGTGGCCATTCTAGGATGCCCCAAAACACTTAAAGCACTGACCCAAAAGAATAGGTGGGAAAGGTCCCTCCTTCACCCTTAGAGCTGTATGTATGTTTTTGTAAGTTTGTCAGTCCTGTGGGATTCACTCTGTAGTGCCCCCTGACTCCCCAGGGCTTTGCTGGGGGTGCTTCTCAAGGTGAGTTTGGGCAGTAATAGCACAGCTCAAGGAAACCTGGAAAAGCCACTATCCACCAGTTTGACTCACCTTGACTTCACCTTCTTCTGACTGGTTGTCCGAGTGCCGAGGAGAGGAGAGTTCATTCCCATGCTCATCTTTGACTTTGGGAGCCTTGTTCTCTTTCTTTACTCGTGGTTTCCTCTTCTTTAGCTTGCCCTGGTGAAAACACAGAAGTAGTCAGGGCAAGCAAATAGCTACTTCCTGGAGACATATTATATCTCCTGAACACCTTGCAAACAACTGCAGCCCTGCAGGATGGCAGGAAGCCTGATGAGCCTGAGTAAGTGCAATAATTACCTGCCCTTCACTAATTATCACTTCAATATCACAATGCAATCAGACAACAGACAAGCCCATATTCCCTCACGGAGATGATGTTCAGTGACCCGGGAACACAGGCTGTCCCCTGCCATCAGCCAATCACTCCTCTTGAAATCCCCAGAATCAGGCAGCCACATCTCACCTCTTCCCCATCTTTCATGTTTTCTTTCTTGTCCAGGTCTTTCTTCAGCAGTTTCAGCAGATAATCAACGCGGGTCTGGAGCTGTTTTCCCTGAGGTTTCTTATCTGTCTCAACAGGTAGGATCTTCAATAAAGCAGAAAACAAAAATATATACCTTCATGTACAAAGCTTGACAAAAGAGATACACACTATCAGCAGTCCTTCCAGGCCCAGCAAAGGGCTGGAGATGCTGCACCTTCTGGGGGAACAAGCAGGCTCAAGCATTCCTTCCCCCCTCCTCATAGACTCTCCCTGTCTGGCTAAAAGTGAAGCTCCCAGCAAACAAGCATCCCTCCCCTTGGACTTCTGCAGAAGTTGAAGGACCCCAAGGCAGCTCTCTAGATACTCTGGGATCTTTCTTGAAGAAAAAGATCTTTTCTAGAAGAAAAAAAAACCTTTAGAAACTATATTCGGGACCTTGCGTTGCAAAACTGAGTCCACTCTCCTTGACACATCAGATTTGTTTGTGGCAGCCTTGTCACAGCAGGCTGGTCCCTCTGGTAACCTAAGACATTGCTACAGCAGTGATACAGATGCAGAATTTTTAGTGGAAAACAAGGCTCCAAGGGGCCACTTTGTGGGAAGTATCTCAGCTCATCAACTAGGTTAGTTTCATACTTCATTGGAAACTGGGTGGTGTGTCTCAGGCAGTTGTTTCCACTATAAGATGCCTTTCTGAACTCCACACATTAAGGGCTCTCAGCCACAGCATGATCTTTGCTAAAAGCACTAGTAGGGATGTCATGGGAATGTCACATATTGGCAGCAAAGCCGGTGTGGAGATTCCCGATGCTCCTCAGCCCTGTGCTGCAGTTTGCTCTTTCCACTCCACTGACACAATGGATGAAGGCTTATTTTTAACCCAGATCATTTCAACATGGTCCCCACAAACCGTTCTTGTGGGCATGACTGAGGAACAGAGGAACTAGATGGAGGCTTTCCAGCTGGCTGTGCTGCCATCACCAGTCATGTAACTATACCCTCAAAGCTAACACAGACCAGTCTTGACATAAGCAGTGTCAAATCTGTGAAAAATTACTTCCACACAGAAATTCAGACTCAGCTTCTTGTGAGATGCGCAAGGAAACATCAAGTCATGATTATGCAATGCAGCCTCTTCTGTCCTGTGCACGTAACCACACATGTCAGCATTGTCATTTTCTTCCTGCATCGTTTCAGTGTGGTTCATGTGGTACCGCTCAGGGAAAATGTACTGCCCATCAAATAACACAGCTCTGCTTTCCATCGAGCATGCAACATTCCATGAAGGTCACTGTTTTCCTCATTATTATTTATTATTATTTTTGGAGTAGTTATAAACACAAACATCTGTTTCTGGAGTAAATGAAGCATGTTCTCTATGAGCACTGCCATGGGCCCAATGGAATCAGCAAGCGAAGCGACCTACCTTATCAGATAACTTCAATTCCGGATCTGTTTTAATTAGCTCCCAGTTTCCATAACCATGCTCGTAAATTCCCACTAACAAGCGAGAATCCTCCTCCACTCCCCAGTCTACATCAAAATGAGCAGCTTTGACACGGCACGTCAGGCGGTACCTAAAGGCATTTCAAACACGAGCTACTTTTAATGCTGTGGAGGATAAAGCAAATCCACATATCCAGGCTATTCACTTTCCACTACAAAATCCAAATTCCCTGAGCCTCTTTCTGCATTGCCTACTTTAGCCAAACTCACTTCTTCCTTTCCTCTGGGTCTGCGGGAATGGATTTATGCAGCATTTCAAACTCCTCTTCGTGCTGGATGATGGATTTCACATTGACTTGGACACCAGAAATCTTGATAGTAGGACCTCGTCTTTTTCCAGGTCCTTTCCCTGCTCAAGAATAAAACACAGCAACTAAGAGAACTCTTACAGAAAGAAGTGCCTCTGTAAAAATGGCTTCACAGACAATGATCAAGACCTTGCCTCAACCACTTATTTAAACATAAGGCCCCAAATATAAGTTTTCTTACACTAACTCACTTGGATTTGCAATCCAAACACCTCCCAGTATCATTTTCTTAAAAACAAATCTAAGTATGCTCAAGCTGTTGCTTCAGCAGCTTTGTTAACCTGCAACAAGCAGAGACTCAGCAGGAAATCCAGGCCTGACCCTTTATCTCTAAACCAACAGCACAGAACAGCCATACAGAGAGTGGATGATGATTCCAGCTCTGGGAAGTGGTAACTGTGGATCCAGCTTTACCATGGAGTACATAGCACCAGTTTGCTTCCCAGTCCCAGGAGCCGTTAAAATTTGGGCTTTGTGACCCAGCATTAAATCAGCTGCTCACTTCAGTCTCTCCCCATGAAAACACATGTCCAGCAGAAACCAGCAGACCCAAGTGGCACTTTCCAGTCTGAGCAGAAGGCTCAGGAGTTTCTCTCCATTGGTGACAGCTGCCTGGCAGGGATGGGATGGTTGAAGTGTGTGCTTGTTTTATTGCTTCTAAGTCACAATGTGGCACACCTCCCCATCCAGCATGGCAACAGTTTCCTCTCCAGCTCCATGGAACAATCCCAAAAACATCATAGCAGCATACAACCCTCTTGCCTACCTTCCCCTGGATTTTCTTTCAGCTGCTCCTCGTATTCTTGCATTGCTGACACACAGCTGTTGTGGATGAGCTCCCCTAAACGTTTCAGATCAGCCACAGATTTATCCACCAGCTCAGCATCTCGGGCAATACACTCCAACCTGGGAAAGGGGGAAAGTGTTTTGTATTTGATACAGAATATCTCCTCCCAGTCATCTCCTAATCAACTGTTTCACAGCTTTTAGTACTCAATACTGTACATATAGGAATGTATGAAACACGCACAAGTTGAGTTTGTGCAGGAAGCAACTCAGTTTTTTGGTCTTTTTTTAGGTCTAACAGCTGCAGTTCAGATGTAGAATAAGTGATCAAATCCTTTGGATTTGTTAGTACTAAAGCAAAGGTGGGAACTGTCTGTCTTGGGGACAACAGGGACCCTCTATGACTGCCCAGTGTTCCCTCAGGCTTTCCTAGTTCCATATTAACTCCATCTGATGGTCCAAAGCTGCCATCTGCTGTCCCTTTTGCCTGCCCGAAGACTCACACGCAAGCCTTGTGTTTCGCAACAGAAGAGTACAACCAGCTGAAAAAACACTGTAATTCTCATACAATATATGCAGGGAACTCTGCCTCAGCCCTGAGACCTCAGCAGGGGCTTTCCAGCCCCAGCACATATGGCATCTCCCTTCCCCCCTCACTCATGCTGGGTCACAGCACTCAGCCAGGGCTCTGCTGACCCACGCTCGAGGATGGTGTGTGCCTCTCCCCATTTCCCTCCAAGAGGGATAGAGCATGGAAAGATGCTCCAAACTCAGTTTTGAGGCTAACGTGCAGAGAGAAGCTTGGCAAGCGTTTTGGGTAGTATTTGCTGTTCCAACAGCTGCTCCCTCTCTTTTCTAGGCTGAGTGGGAATGCCCCAAGGGCCGGACTCTGCCAGCAGGACGATGCTGTTACAGCCCGGCGCCACGGCTGCTCGAGATGCTTTTGGCCAGCACTCATCAGTGCCCATCAACTGAGACACGAGGGACTGCACAGCAGTGCTGGTGTTCCTGATGACATGACAACAAGGTTCAAACACCCACAGCAATGTGTGTGTCTGGCTCTGCTCAGAAATACAATGTCCCTCCGTGATTCCCCTCTGGAGCAGGGCCAGGGTGGGACTCACCTTTCAAGAGGCAATCCAAACTTCTTGTAAGCCTTGATAAACCTAAGGAAAAAAAAATAATTAGAAGACTAAACTAACTGCCATAAAAAGTAGGTCCAGTATCACAAATACACTTGAATATATTAATTACAGTCTGCCAGATTATCACCCTTGCATTCCCCATTGATTAGCTCAGTATCCCTCAGTGCTCGGAAGCTTCATCCATTAGCCCCCACAAAGAGTTTTGTGACCTTGGCTGGAGAAGAACACAACATTATTATGAATTTTGAGTGCTTGACAGATGACAAAAAAAAAAAAAGGAGAGTCATAACTGTAGCGTAAAAAAAAAATTAGAAGAAAATAGAAAGAAAACATAGAAGAAAGCACTGGCTCACACCATGTTGGTAATTATTAACTTAGTTTTTCCAAGAAGAAAAGAGGCATTAAATCAATGTCATTAGTAATTTTAAGGCTCAGGCTGTAAATGTAGCAACCCATCACAGAAGAGCCAAGCGTGGTTCAATCCATCACAGAGGTTTGCAGACAAGGATTGCTATTAATTTTTATGTCTTATTTTTATTGTGAAAGTCCCTGCCATGGCTAACACAACTTTAGGGCAAGAGTCAAATGTTGCTGCAATCAAACAGTGCCTTGTGCTAGGAGTAGACCCAATGGCTACAATTACAAGTTATTTTTAAAAATAATTATTTTTTTGCCTTTTTTTTTTTCATCTTCTGCTCTTTAAGCCTCTTTCTGTTACATTACAATAAATGGCTGCTATATTCCATATTGTAACATGTCCTTCCTGCTCCATGGTTTCAAGATGGACATAGGGCAGCTACCACAGTCCAGAAAATCTGGTATCTCCTGCTTAAAAACATAGCAACTCAGATATGGAGAGAGTCAAGGAAAACTCATAGCCCTCTCTTTTCCATCTTTGGCTGAACATGTGGGCAGAGCTGTAAGACAAAGATCTTTGGGAAACATTCAAGAATTAGAAGATAAAAGAAGAAAACAACACGCTGGAATTCAGCCCCCAGCTGCCTCCAAGGACTGACACACAACTGCTGGGATCAACGGGACCAGTGCTTCTCATGGGGTCACTTTGCCAGAGCCTGCCTTTCACTTAGAGCTTAAATCAGCAGGATAACTGCCAGAAAAATGTCAGGAAGGCCAGAGCCCTTGGCTTCTCCAGCTCTGTATCTCATGGCACCTAAGACCTCACGTGTTATATGGAATTAGCTCAATCCCCTTGGCCCAGGAAAGGCAGTTACAACAAGGATTAATCTCAGGAAGGCACCAGCTTCACTGTAGCCTGACTAAAGACAATCCAGTCCATTTTTCACTGACCTGGATGTTGAGGTCAGCTGGGAGCAAACTGAATTATATAAAGGTGCAGAAGCTGTCTCAATGAACCAGCTCCACCTAACCACTGACGTGCTTACAGCTGAAAGCGTCCTGGATTAATCTGGGATTTTCTCCACCTGCATGGCACTTCTATATTTGTTTTCTGAACTGTCTCTTGTGCTCAGCACTGACCTCCTGATTTCAGCATCAGTAAATCCTTCCACAGTGTCTTTTCTAACACTCCGAGGACGTCCCCTGCGCTTTGGTCTCTTCTCGTCATCGGTGTCGTCAGTCTCGCTTTCTGATCCAGATGATCTCTGCAGCCTTCTCTTAGTTTCTGCATCTGATTCACTGTCATTTGTCTGAGCCTGTATGTACCAGAAGAACAGTAGTATAGTTAACATGTGCTAATCTAATCAGCTAACAACCTCTTCTGTCCCTCCTGCACTGGCACTATTTAATGTACAGGCTGTAAAACACCTTGGCATTTATTCCTAAAGATGCAAGAGCTCATGTAACCACCCTAGAAAGGCTGCACACCCTTGGAGTTCCCAGCTGGCAAAGGCTCTAGTGGTTGTCCTCCCTGTAGAGCCAGCAGTTTCACAACTGTATTTTGATTTACTAAGGTTATGAGACATTAAAACACACTGATTTCCATGGGTTTGTGCCACAGTCCCTTAGACTATTTTGAAAACCAGGACTCCATAGAAATGCATCTGGATTCATCCAATATGAATTATCCTTCTCTCTCTGTTTTTCCCCAGCTCATCCAGAGAACAGTGCATAATCCATTAAAGTCCCATATCCCAGAAGAACTTCCTTGCACATCCAGCTTTCTTTTGGATTGGGGTAGGTCCCATGACCTAAAGAAGGACTCAGGAAGACACCATCTCCTTTGCCCCTCAAGATCCACATTTAGGCAAAAGCAGCCCAGGGAGCTAGAGAGTCCGAGGAAAACAAACAGCCAGAAAATGGCAAAATCTGCAGTAAAATCCAATACAGTTGGATACTTTGCCTTGTGGTCACTACAGATTCTCTTTAATTTCATTTGTTAAGATGAGTCGGACCAAATTCAGTCTGGGCTCTCACACTGCATCCCAAACCATGGGCCCAATGCATGATGCCAACAAGAGGTCAATGTGCTACCAACCAGCTTTGGAGGAGGAAAAGAAGCTCAGATGACAAGGAGGCTTCCCTTGAGTGTTGCCTCTGCCAGCTGTCACCTCCTGCCTCTCAGCTCCTCGAGGTGGGCTGTACCTTTTTAGTTGAGCTCCGGATTCGAGGCAGCATATAGATTTCCTCCAACTCTTTCTGCCTTTCTTCCTCCTCCACCTTTTTCCTCTGTTCCTCTGGAATGATATCATCCCAGTCCTTCTGGGACCGCTCATCCAGCTCTGTCTCTTCCTCCTCCATGGTTGCAAAGTTGGCGACCTTTCACAAGCACAGGAAAAGTTTTAGCAATTCCCTCCCCTGGCAGGAACACTCCTGAGCTGTCTGCTAAGCCTCAACTCCTGCCCCATAGGAATTCTGCCAACACTTCCATAAACTACTGCATAATTCATTCCTATGTCACTACATTCCTGGTTCCTTGCCACGTTTCTGGACTTACAGCTTTTGAGGAAGTACGTGCAGTTTAAGAAGTCCTGCTGAGCCTTTGTTAATTATTGGCTTCATTTCCAAATTTGGTAAAATCTGCAAAACCACTTACTCGAAAGCAAATTAATACCTACACTGGGGGGGGTTGGAACTAGATAAGGTCCCTTCCAACCCAAACCATTCTGTGATCCCTCTGAGGTGTTCCTGCCTGTTACTGACCTTACCATGGCAGGATGTGGGGAGCCACATTCCCACACCCCACTATAGAGCCTGGGGGTCCATACCTTGAACTGGGAGAGGAGCTCATCGGTGGCACTGGTGGACACTTCATTCTCCCGTGTTTCAGCCAAACGCAGAATCTCATCGATGTCCATCTCCTACCAGTCAGGGAGAAGGAGAGATAAAGCAGAGGATATCGACCACAGCGGGAAATAAGAGGCTTTGAGAACAGACTCGTGTGCTGATATGTGCTAAATAAAGTGCAAATATCTGCAGGGTGCCATCCCCGAGGGCTGGGATGAACTATCTCAAGCAGTACAACAGAGTATAAATAAGGTGACAGGACAGAAGAAAAGGACTATCGAGGCTGAACAGTTGGGAAAATTTCCAGACAGTGAGATATATGAACTGTGGACTGTCTTCCTCGGGAGAAGCTCTGCTGCTTGGGCCATTTAGAGAATCGGTCAAAGCACTCCATACTAAATTGTCAAGCAATGCTGCAGTGAGGCAGAAGAAAGCGACCTATTCACTTCACTGTGCTGATTCCTGCCTCTTGGAGAACAACCAAAAAAGGATGCTGAGAACAAGTGCTCAGAAGAGGCAGGGAGAGCAGCTTTCAGCAGGATGTGCTATAACTAGCTAATGAATCCTCATCAGACAAGGGACTCCCTTGGTGACCTTTACTATTTAATCCCCAACAGCAAGGCTCTCCTCAACCCCCCGATCCTCCAACCCCAGACTCTTCCTTCAGCTTCTCCAGACTCACATGTGTCCTATTCACTGACCTGCTCTCATGCACAGGACAAGTACAAAGTGGGGGCAACCACACACAATCCCTTATGCAGACCTGCAGATGACAACAAACTGCTGTGTGATTTCAATTTCAAACTACCTGAGGCTCTGACTCTTCTCCTTCAAGCTCCTTGAAGAGATCTTCAGCTCCAAACTTCAGAATAGCTGTCAGCTCCTCTTTGTTGAAAGGATTTGAGCTGCAAGAGCAAGTGAGAAGGAAAAGGTATTTTGAGTTGTTAAGTCAGCACTGCTACAGCCCAAAACCACACCAAAGTTTTTCCTAATTGAAGCAAGGAGTAAGTTTTCTACCCAGCACTATAAAAAGCTTTTTTATTAATCTCTTTCCTGCTCTAACAAGGATAATGACTATAAAGAGAACCACTTCCATCTACTGGGGGGATATGGGGGGACTCTGAGGTCACTGCCAAGGTGCAGCTTTTCCACAACCACTACCAGGTTCCCTCAGACCAGGGTGATCCCTGGGTGGAAGGCAGAAGGAAAAACAAGTAACGCATTAAAACTGGGTTTTAATTTCTGATCATCTTTATCCTATGTGTCCAAATTAATGGCTGCATAAGCCAAATCAGTGGAAGCTGCCATTATTTATTAGCCTTCTGCCCTATACCCTATCCAATAAATATTGGGAAATACCAGCAGGTGAGGCTGGTTATGCCACGCACTGTTCCAGACATCTCTGCCTCCTGACACAATCACATACTTGGATCTCCCAGAGTTGTTGTCCAGAACAGTCCGGCCAGTGGTGTCCATACGCTGGATAACCAAATGATCCAGCACCATTTTCTTCTTGGCTCTCTCAATGATCTCCTCCTCCACTGTCCCCTTTGTGACCAGGCGGTAAATATTCACCTAAGGGGCAAAAAGAAAACAGACCTATTTCCTGGACCTGAACATGCTCTGCTTACACAGCAATACAACCCTCAGCTGTTTCACAGGAGACTGGTCTGCTGACATTGTCTATTCATATATAGATGTGGTTTTACAGGAGAAAAACAAGCACATTCTCTTTACATCTCAGGTGACCCCATTAAAATCAGGATGGTTAACACATATCTTGTCATGTGCCTAAGGACAGAGTAAATTTTCTTCTGAAACAATCATGCCAAATACAAACTAGCACCAAACCTTTCATGTATCTAATAAACCCCCAGTAAAGGCGATGTTCTACTTGCTAAGTTTTTCTGGGCAAGAAAGAACAGAGTCCACTAGGCTGAGAAGTGTAACAGGTTGGGTTCTTGGCTTTGAACCATCCCAGAACCCAAAGCCAACACGAAGACTTGGCATATGGCAAATCTGGACTGATTTTTTGTCTCCTTTTTTCAGTGAGATTCCCTGAGGCTGGCAGCACTCTCTGGAGTCAAGACTGGGGCAAAAAGACCATATTTTCAGAAGCTCTGGTGTAGTGGGAGCCTGTTTAGGTGCTCACACTGAAGCCACAGACAAAACGACCCAGGCAGCTCTTCTGACCTGCTTTTTTTGTCCAATCCGGTGAGCTCGGGCCTGAGCCTGAAGATCATTTTGGGGGTTCCAGTCCGAGTCAAAGATAACAACAGTATCAGCAGAGGCCAAATTAATTCCAAGCCCTCCAGCTCGTGTTGACAACAAGAAACAGAAGTCCTGAGGGGAAAAAAAAAAAGCATCCATGAATTAGCCAGCCTGTAACTGTGGACAGAAAATAGCAATGGTGACTCAAAAGCTGTACAAGCAAATGTAAGGCTCTGTTGCACTCATGCTTCTTAAAGCAGAAAATTATTTCCTTCCCATACACAGGCTAAGCACCAGTGGTCTTTAAGCCAGGACCCATGGTGAGGTAGTGCTGGCAGGGGTTAAAGATGTGCTAACCCAGGTATGCAACAAAGCAGCTCAGAGCAAGGGCACCTTGGAGTCACTTTTGAAGGTCAGACCACTAGATTCCTACAAGGGCAGAAGACAAACATCTGCTTTTTCTTGCCTGAATCCTGTTGGGAGTGAGATCAGTAACTAACAGACTGTTCAAATTACTGCCCAAGGGCACAGGATGCCAGGTTAGAGCCAAGATACCTGAGCCCCTACAGATGCCCTCAAAAGAAGGCAAAAGGGCAGGTTCTTTCTCCTTTCCCACTCACACTGCTGTCTCCTTCTCACTTTTATTTGTTAACTTTCCCACAACCATGAAGAGTTTCTCTATCTCCTGTGCCAGCCCAGGCTTCCAGAGCGAGGAAAGGTATTTGTCATGGCTGGGCTGGCTGACACAAAAACAAGTGCCTTGCACCAGTCACTGTGAGTCAGCAATCCTGGATGAGAGGTTTGAGATGTCCTCTCCTATTACACTGCAGACTTTCACCTCCAACACCAGACTCCACTGCCTGCCAACACTAAAAATCCTCCTTTTGCCTTTGCTGTTTCATATCCAAAACCAGCTTCAGACTGGAATCATTTAACAACCATCTCTCATTGTTCAGACCGGAATCATTCAACAACCATCTCTCATTCTTCAGACCATAGGGAGAGCATTGCTAAATTCTGGCTCTTCCCAGCCTCTTCTGGACTTTCTGGAGCTGTGACTTGCAGCCCTGTTCCTTGGACATGGCAGATTTAAAACAAGCAATATGGCCAGTTGCAAAACCTGCTATATCTGTGTCTTCAAAAGTATCTGGGGTCCTGTGAAAAGAAATGAACTGAACTAATCCCCTCTTGGCAGTCACAACCTGTGGCTCAGCCACAACACCCACTGCCCGGGCAGCCCACCCGGCCCCTCCTGAGGCAGGACTGTGGTACCTCGGAGCCGTCGGCGTTGAAGTGATCCAGCGCCTGCTTTCGGATCTCCCCCTTGATCGAGCCGTCCAAGCGCTGGAAAAATCAACAACAGTGATGAAAGAAAGAAGGTAAAGGAGCCCTGAGGAACTGGTGCACCCAGGTCCTGCAAGCCCTAGAGCCCCTCTCGCAGCCTGCAGCATTTGATTGTTAAAAATAGCCTCCAATTAAAAATAACTGCACTGCCTCAGCTGTGTCACAAGGACAGGGGGGATGCTCACACAGCGGGTGACACCACAGCTCCCATTACAGGCTCCCAGCCAGGCTCTCTGTGTTCACAGTCCTCTCCTCAGGGTTTATCACAGGACACAGGCCAAAGGGGCCTGTCAAAGGAGTTTTGCAGAGACATGGCCACACTGAAATGAAGGGACATGCCAGTTCCCTGCAGTAAATGCAACCTGTAATCCCAGCCACCAGCCTCTGGGAAACTCAATGACTCCCGTTGCCAAGCTCCCTCTGCATTTTCACACATTTTCAAGAGAACCCTACTGTTCTGCATGCTGATGTTTCTCACCTGAAAAGGGTAGTGTTTGATAGTCAGGTACTCTGCCAGGATGTCCAGCATCCTCACCATCTGGGAGAAGATCAGCACTCTGTTGCCTCTTTCCCGCAGTCTGGTCAGCAGCTTGTCCAAGAGAATTAGCTTTCCACTGCTCCTGATCAGAGACTGAAGAAATAACCATCATTCCAGCTGATGTTTTCCAATCTTACATTATACAGACATGCAGAGAACTGCTTCTTTTGGGGTCATGCATCTCTTGTACATCTTTGATCAAATCACCTGGATTTACACAGCAGAGGCCACACACAAAATGAATCATTCAAGACATATGTTACACTGCCTGCAACTCCTGCTCTAGATGTCCACAAAATGTTGCCTCCATTGAACTCTCCACTGAGAGTTCAAGTGGCTTAGTTGTGCAGACTACTTCTAAAGGAGAAGCCACAGATGTCATCTTGCTGGGAGGACAGAAGGAAGAGGGAAGTTAAGGAAAAAAGGTGGTGACTTAAGGCACCACTCACCTGCAGGGTCTCAAGGCCATTCTCTCTCTCGTTTTCCTCAGGAGGTTTGATAAGGTAGCAATGGTTGCAGCACTTTTTCAATTCCATCACAATGTTCAGGAAACCAGATGTGCTTCCCCTTGTTCCCTTTGAAAGAGCTTTGTAGTTTCTTGTCAAAATCCACCTGCAGGCAGGAAAATGAAAATCCAGATCATTTCACAGCCCAGAGTGCAGCTGCTGGAGTCTTGGAGGAACAAAATCTTCTGGGAAATCTCATTCAGGCATCAGAACTATCTCTATCTCTCTTCCCTCTATCTCTCCTTACTTCTTTTATAGGACGTTGCTCACTAGAAACCATGACCTTAATTTCCTATTGATATTATCGCAGTTTAATATTGAACAGCATCACAATTTTGTGCAGATCTTTACTCCCCCAGAAAAGATATAACCTCTGTCCTGCAAAGCTTGCCAACTGAACTGTATTATTCTACAAGAGCACCTCCAGTGGTCTGGAGATGATTTTTTAGAAGGAAAGATACCAACTACCCTACCTCAGCTTCCTACTGGGAAGCTCATGGTACTACAGGTGATGGCTGTCATATTGCACTCTGAAGGCCACAGTATCCACAGCAGATTGAAACACGTTCCCAAGGCCCATTACTACTGGCACTCCCAATAACTTATTAAATCACTCACTTGTAATACTGTTTCTGCAGAGCAGACATTTCCACCCGGAGGATCTGCTCCACTTTGGCTGGCAAAGATTTCTCCACATCCTTCTTCACTCTTCGTAGGAGAAAAGGCTCCAGGACTTTGTGAAGGCTTTGGTAGCCATTCTCTCTACCTTTCCCGTGATCCTCTTCAAAATCCTCCCAGAACTCAAACCTACCAACAGAAATGAGGAGCAGGGAGAGTTCAGAATGTCTTGTCTAACTGCACCACACAGCATCTATCAGATGTCCTGCTGCACAGGACAGGAGATCATCAATTCAATGGAAACACAGTGGAAGATAACAGGTTCACTCTGCTCTTGCTAACTAAACAGATTGGTGGCAAGGCTAGAAGCTCTTTGGGCTTAGGTGCCTTCCTAACATCTTATATTTGAGCTCCACGCTGACTCCGAGGACCCAAATTTCCAAGTTTTCCAGTATTTTGCTCTGCTGACATTTAACTGGCAGCAGTTTCTGAATTTTCCACAGTGCCTTCCCCCAGGCAGGGCTTTGACAACTGGACTACGTTTTACTCTGCTCTGAAGGCTCTTTTGGATTGCTGCTTCCTCTAACAGCTCCTTTGAAATGTGGAGATATGCTCCTTCTCCTCCACTTGGGAGACCCCAAACCCGTCCTTCTCTCTTTCTGTGATCCAACAAAAAGAATTTGGGGGACAGCTCTTTTTTCAGTTAAACATGACTTTAGTGAGCTTTGGGGCGTGCTTGCCTTAGCCTTAGCAATGCCCATAGCTCATTTTATTTTAAAGAAAACAAAGTATTTGTTATACTGTGGACACACAATCAGCCAGACAGCACTGTCCTGGAGTGACACTCTCAGGGCCTGCCATGAAATGGTTGGCGAGGGTGCCTGAACCACAGTGTGCTGGAAACCTCAGAAATGGCTGATTGCTTGAAACAAGTTTATCTTTTTAGAGATGTCTCGAAGACAGCAGACAGATTTAAAAGGCATGTATCAGGTTTCCCCATTCAGTTTGCTGCCAGAAATACTCCTTGTATTAGTCATTTAACCTCTGATTTTCCCCACCAATGTCTGTTCCCCTTTCATTGCTGTCACTTCACCAAGTTTAATTCAGGGATTTAATTCAGGGACTTCTGCCATTCTGCACTCCCTTGAGCCTATTTAACAGACAAGAGTGGACACGGAGATATTTCTTGGAAGGACTCACTTCTCTGGCATGATGAAATGCAGCAGGGACCAGAGCTCCTTGAGTGAATTTTGAAGCGGGGTGCCGGTGATCAGCAGCCTGTGGTTGGACTTGAAATCAATCAATGTTTTGTACAGCAAAGAGTCGTCATTTTTCAACCGATGGGCTTCATCCACGCCTAGAAAGGCCCAGTTAATACTTCCCAAAACAGTCTGGAGGAAGAGAAGAAAAAAAACACAGGCGTCAACGAGACGCTGGGTCAGACAAGCCCCATCACCTTGCCCAGGCCTTTCTCTCCACGGCCAGTGTGTGCTGCTCAGGATGTCCTGCCCCAGTCAGAGTTTGGCTCACAAGAGTTTCTTGCTAACAAAATGTGGGGACCAAGATGCCTACACTAGTTTTTCCTCCCCAGAAATGAAAAGGTGAACGTCAGCCATGCCGTGTAACACTCCTGCCATACCTGGATAGTCCTGCAGTAAGTACACCTATCTTAGTCCTCCTTTGCTTTACCCAGAAAGCACAGTCCTCCCCCAGCTCTTTATTTCCCTCTTTCTCCATGCCCTTGGAACCTTGGGTAGCACTAGTCCCACCGCAGCAGCAGCAGGAGAGCAGATGAATAAGACTAAAAAGTTGAGGTAATCTGAGAGTTGTGATTTTTTTTTTTCTTAAAAAAAAGCTTTTTTTGGTTTCTGCTAGGACTCAGTGATGCACTGACAGGGCTGATGAGTATTTCCTAAGCAGACAGATTTCTCCCAGGTGTAAAAATGCAGATATTGCTAACACTGTGGCCAGAGGGTCAGTGTAATGTTTTGTTCTCTTAACAAGCCTAAATTAAATCAGGTAAAAATCCAGCTACTGTCCTGCCAGATGCCTTACAGGTGAAAAGAATAAAACAACTGTGCAGTGCAAGAGTGAAGAGACTATAACATGTCCCACATTCCCTGTGTATTACTGGCAAGAGAAAGGAAATAGTAGCTGTATGTTCTCCATCACCATAGAGGGAAGAGGTGAAACCCATTAGTCAGGGACTGGCTTCCCCCTTTGAAATGAGAGAAAGTTTAAGTAAAAATATTCCTGGACCATTGCTCACCTTATCCTTGAGGAGGATCTCATATGTTGTGATAAGTGCATTAAATTTCAATCTTTTAGACTGAGAATGAATCCACTCATATTCACGTATCTGTGAGGGGAGACAGATGTTAGCTTCAACCAAGGTTATCAAAAGGAAAGAGTTAACAATCATTATTTTAATGTAGCTGTACACAGAGATTCCAACCAAGTCCAAAACCCTGATGTTCAAGGTGCCATTTGATGAGCTCAGGGTGCCCAAGGAGCAGCTGGTTTTAGTGCACACATGGTTCAACTGCCCTTGCACAGGTAACAATAAGGTCAAATTGCTGTTGTAACTTCAACCTCATCAGCTAAATGAGCGTCACCACACTATGGACACAACTAGACTCCCAACACTTGTGTGCTCTGTTGTCTGAATAATTCCAGACACAGGAGACAAGCACTTTTACACTGCTGGACTCCTCACTGCAGCATGTTTCAGCCCAGTAGTAGTTTCTAGACTCTGAGAAAAACCAGTACTCCTGTGCTCAATCCAAGAGGGAAAACAGGGTATAAAATTCCCTGCAGCAGAGGATTACACCCATGAGCTGTTACACCAGCTCCAGCTGCTTACAGTGCTGCCAGTAATATCCAGCAGCCTCTCCAGCAGAACGTGTGTCACACACGTCACACAGAAGCTGCTGCTTTGCACCCAGAGCTTCAATCCAACCCCTCACCCTTTGCTCTCTGATTACACACCATGTTCCTGCTCATGAGGTCTCCAATGTAAACCACCACGTTTATCTCGGGCGCCCACACTTCAAACTCCCTCTGCCACGAGGTGAGAGTGGACAAGGGCACGACCACCAGGAAAGGGCCATAGAGCTGGTGCTGATGGAACAGGTATGACAGGAATGATATTGTCTGAATCGTCTTGCCCAGTCCCATTTCGTCAGCCAGGATCACACTGTTGTTCCTGGGAAAGAGGAGAACAAACAAAAATGCTGTCTGAGAGCAAGTTTCTGCCATTAGCAATTTAGTGTGCTCCACAGGAACAGCAATCCACAACAAGGGTAGAGACAGGCAGTGCAAAAATAGTTATCTGAACACTTCCAAGTGGATCCCAGGGACATCCAGACTGTACATTGCACAATAACACGCAAAAAATGAACTATGATGACTCCAAACTGGAGGACAAAGGCAAAGGGAGAGGGGAATCAGTGGCCTAATTTTAGAAGGACATTTCTCAAAGACTTCAGTGAGTATATAAACGTGCTAAGACAGAAACCTTTTTTTCCATTAAGTCAATGGAAAACTAGGACTGATATGTACCAGGCTCACACAACAGCCAAATTCAGCACGTGAACAGGCCCAGACAGGGAAAATGCTTTTTGTTTTCACACAAGGTTTCTAAAGTTCATGCTTTAGATAGTTTCTGCTTGCAGTGTCTGCAATGCAGCTGGGCATGATAACATTTGAAATCCTTCAAGCTGCAGAAGGAGGGTGGGTAAGGACCTCGCTTGAAAACAGGAGGGCCAAATCCTACTGGGGTGAAAACTAGGAGACACAAAATGAATGTCACAGCATCTGTACATACTTGCACCAGGAGTGAGCGAGCCAGTTGAGGCCCTCCAGCTGGTAATCCCGCAGCTCCAGGTTCTCACCGCCGATGTACGACGGCTGCTTCTTCAAGGCAACAAACCTCGGCCTCTGCTTCAACACCTGAAAAAGATGCTGCCGTAAGTCCACTGAAGAGAAGGACAAAATAGTCAGTGGTTGAAAGGCTGAAAATTTAGCAATGATATCTATGAATTCAGCAAAGACTGTGTTTCTTTTCATTGATTCAAGTCCATACACATTTTCCCAGCTAGTGCTCGTGTCTGCATTTCTTGTGATTTGCCTGCTCTTTTCTGGTTCTGAGGATCAGGGTTCTGAGTCCTCCCAAGAATGCAGTAAGTTGTGCATAAAGCACACAGATGGAACAAGCTCCACTTTCTTCTTTGCCCTCTTTTGATTTTCTCCCATTATTTCTGTCCCTCTCCTCCACTGTATCAGCATCTTGCAGGTTTCCTCTTTTACCAGGTGTGCTGTTTTTTCATCCAACTGATATTAAAACTCCTGCAGCTCCTCCTGAGGAGGAAGCACTTTGCCAGGCTTAATTAAGGCTCCCACTCCCCAGGGGGGACACAATGTTCTCACTGTGCACGGAGTAAATGAAACTTAAAGGGGTTCACATCTCTGCCTCAAGTACAATACAAGAACAGCAAACAACGCTTCCAACACAGGTGGGAGGATGGGAAAATGTTCTCTGACACTTATCCTGACAAAACTTCATGTTCCCACTGCTTGCATCACCCCCCAGCCTGGAGAAACCCAGTAAAGGAGAGGAAAGAAGCCAGAAAACCTTGCAGTCCCGGGTGGGAATCGTTTTGGAGTTGTTCCGACTGTTGAAGCTGTCGATGCAGTGCTGAAATTTCTTGCTTATCAGAGCCTCATCTTCCCAGCTGCACTCAGCATAGGGCAGCCCCATCCACTTACACAGGTATTCGGGGTCATTTGAGGATGTTTTGCGACTGTTTGCTGTAAAATATGCAAAACCAAAGCCCAAACCTCAGTACCTGTGGTTGAACGGCCGAACCACAAGCGCAGTTCACAGGCACAGGCTGAGCCACCCCTACAGCCACGAGACAGGTCTTGACAAAGTAGGAAAAGTGTAGAGGGACTAAAAAATGCTCCTTTACCTGGGAAATCCGAATGTCCCGTGGCAGACTTGCTGGTCTTCACAGCTGTGTTTGGAGAGAGAAGGGAAAAGAGGGTTGGTGTGCTATCAGCCAGCAGAGGGAGCAGGGAAGGCTGTCACTGCCATACACCACAAGTTTTTATAGGAATTCTCTTGGAAACAGGCTAAATAGCTCTCCAAGCCAGTTCCCAAAGCAACTGAGCGCTGGCAGCTCTGACTGACATGACTGTGATATTACCAATGCTGGTTTTATTAATTAATCATGACAATCTAACCCTGAGCTGCCTTGCAGCCCAACCACATCCTCAACCACAGAAAGTGGTCATCACAAAAGCCAGGCCTGTACTGCTGCTTAGGATACAAACACCTTGCATCCAGAGGGCTGAAGTGAAAGAACTTCAGCAGCAGCAACACTCCAGACAGGGAGAGTGACTGATTTGTATTGCTTGTAAATACAGATCTGTAAACCTGGATTCCTACTGTCCAAATTCCTGAATTTCACACAATGAAATACACTTAACACCATTTTTTTAAATTCAGAGACACTGAGGGACAGGGAAGATGAGAGAACTGTACAATCATTTTGCTTTCATAGAGATTAAAGACCCCAATCTTACTTCATGCCTTTACAAAAGCATCGGCTTCACTTACCAATTACTCTCTCCACTATTTGATACTGTTTGTTCAGCTCTGAGGCCAGCTCTTGTTGGCAGTTGAAATATTCCACATCTTCAGGTGATACTTTGCCCAGCCTAGATGGAAAAAAATCCAAACAAAAAACCACTATAATGCTTCTGTCATAATCCTTGTGGATGTCACATATAGAAGATCTACTTTCCTATATGGTTCTGTCATTCAGACAAGCCACTGGAGCAGACTACTGCTTATGTGACGTGTTTCTTAAATTTCCCATAATTATAAATCTTTCCTGAGAAGCAAATGTCACAGATGTTCAGACTGTCTACCTGTTAAATGATGCCTTATTCTGATGCACAAGTCGGTCTCAAAACCTGAATCAGACAGAGATGGAAGCTGCTACTCCAGCTTCAGCACTTTGGAAACACACCTTAGCTCCCCTTATAGTTCCTGGGGCAGCTGGACATAACCTGATGCAAAAACTTGCATACAGACAAGCCTATAGTTAACAAGGGTTAATAAGGCTGCAAGGCCTCACAGCACCTCCTGGGCCAGGCGAATTTGTGCAACATTTACTTGTTGTCAGCTACCCCAATTCTTAAGCCTGGGAAGTGGCAACAGCGTAGATTTCATGCCTCTTCCTCTCCATTTCACAGACATCAACACCACAGGCATCATCTCTACCAGGGGGGATGTTCCTTGAGTGGGTTAAGGGAGACCAGAGTTTTGTGCACATGAAACACACTTTGCAAGAAGAAATCAAATGTTTTCAGTCTCGACTCTGCAAACCTCTGGCTAAAGATGACTTGCCCGAGGCCAAATCACTGGTTGAGTGAAGCCTACCATTGCTTGATCTCCTCCTCTTTTTTCTTGAAGTTTTCTAGCTTTTTCAGGCCCTTCACTTTCTGCTGCTGCAAGGACTCTTCGCTCTCCCAGGTGCTGTGGATGTATGACCAGCCTTTCCATTTGATCAGGTACTGAACTTCCCCCTCATCCTTTTCAGGATCGAAGTCCGCGCTGGGGTTGCCGTTGGCTTCGGTCGCATAAACGGTGGTGGAAGCACCAATGGCTGCAAGAGAAATCAGGCTGCAGTCGGTACCTTCCTTATCAACCCCTGGACTTCAACTGCATTAGAGCAGAAAGCTACTCTTCTAATACATCTTTTGTGGCAGCACAAAGAATATCCTACAGATTCTGCAATCCTATAAGGCAGGAACACAAAAGTTTTCCATACAACAGAATCCTTTAAAGTCTCTCTGTCATAAGTACCTTTTCTTTAAGTATAATCAAAGGTCTCTTGAAAAGTTCACAACCGTTCAGTTTTACAAAAACACTTCTGTAAGGTTTTGAGAACAAAACATCGGCTTTATTTTCATTATGGCTTTGTCAATGGGGCTATGAAAACTGACTCCACTGGAAGATCTATTTTATATTTCAAAGAAGAGGAAAGCAGGAATTGCAGAACAATGACTGCATCTTTAAAATGTGTGCAGGCTAAATGAAAGCTGCTGAACACATAAACTAGAGATTCTAGGTTTTTCAATACTACATGTTACCAAAGCTGCTACAAGACATAAATAAGAGGCACAGAGGAAAGGGTGAAAAGCACTGAAATAATCCTTGGCCCCCCTTTGAAGTCACAAAAGCATTGCACCAGCTCAAGAGAAACTATGAGTGCACAATCAGAAATAAAAAGGCTTTTTCCAGAAGTACGAACCTCCCTTTTTTCCAAGCCTGATGTCCAAGACTTTCTCAATAGTTTCACTGTTGTCTTGCTGTTCATCAGCTCCTTCCCCAGTCATCTCTATCAGGTCATCAGAATCTGTCTCAAAATCATCATCTTCTTTGTAACTGAATAAGAACAAAACCAAACTGATTTAAAACCCCTGACTCCTCCCAGTCCACAAACACACAGAACAGCACAGACTGTGGAGCACCTTCTCCACCATTTATCCCAGGGGTCAGTGCATGTTCAGCACACACACATCTTAAGTCATCTACTCAGTATTTTTCCCCAAGACACCCAGATAGCTACACTTTATCAGACTAATCCTATATCTTGTCCAGGTAAGTTTTTCTGACCATGGCTAACATCAGATGCTCCGTAAGGAGGTGGAACAGTTGCTGCAGCAGAAGAAAGGCTATCAACAGAGAAAGTCTCCACTATCCAAGGAAGGATTATTTTTTTAACAACAGAGGTTTCAGAGCATCAGAAGCTTGCATGGGTGCCTACACTGCTCTAGGAACTACACTTCTTATCTTTGATGAATGTTTAACCACCACAAAATATTATTTGGGTGGTTCTTTGCAACTCCCTTACTAAGAGTGCTGAAAGGTGAGAAGGCACACTGGGGAATGGATAAAGCTTTACCTCCACCATGCCTGAACACTCTGTCCTAAGGCATAACCCATCAGCCACTCTCAGATAATTGCTCCAATCCAGCACAGCTGCTCCCTTTTGCTCATTTTCAACTATTATTTGCAATTATTAATCTCATCTGAAGCTTCTTTAGAAACATTACACAAACCCCCTCATATTTCTCTAAAAGGAATTGGTAAATACTCCCTCCTTTACAGATGGCAAAACAAGGCAAAGTCAGACGTCCACAGTATGAACCTGTCAAAACAACCACACCTCAGCCACAGGTATGTGCAGGGCAGAGCAGGGACTCTGCAGGATCACTCAGGCAGTCAAGAGTCCCCCAGTGCTCCCTCCTCCCCACCCAGCTCCCATCATCGACCAACCCCACACTTCTTCATACCTGACATTTTTGGCTGCTCTTCGTCGAGTTTGTCTCTTGGGGGTCTCATCATCTTCGTCATCATCGTCATCTTCAGATGAGTCTGGTTTCTTTCTCTTCCCACGCTGGACTTTGTGGGGCTTTTTAACACCAGTTTTGGCCACTGTTCTAAAATAAGAATTAATAAAGCCATAATACAGCATGGTTTATGTAAACATCTGCTTTAGTAAGTCTTTTAGAATGCATGAATCTCAAATATTAGACTCCTAAGGGCTTTAGTCTGCTCTAACTATCATGGAAACCACTGTGTCACTCACTGGAGCACTACATGGGGTGATGAGGAAGTAACTAGGCCCTAGGTTTACTAGGTCATAAACCAGGGTAATACTACAGGAAAAAAGCCACATTCTTTAGTGACAAATAGAGATTTTCTCTCCACCCAGCACAGGCAGGAAAAGAGACTGAACCAAGCAGTCCTTACCTCCTTTGGACAGGTCTTCTTGCTTTAATTTTCTTCGGTTCAGGCTCACTCTCTCCACTGGTCCCTTGCTCCCCTCCATCTTCATCCTCCTCTCCAGCAGAGACCTCTCTTTTCCATTTAATTCTACAGTCAGAAATGTAGGTCATGAAGGGCAATGATACTTCTACACAAATACTTGGCTGAACAGACATCCAAGCCATCAACGCCATAACTACAAGAAAAAGTTCCAGACTGCACCCTTGGCTGTTCAGTACAATGCAGGGGGGATGTGATGGTGCAATTCTCTGCTTTTAGGAGGAGGTCTTAGGCACCTGTGTTTTGATTCACAAAGTGGCAGGATTGCCTTGATCTCTTGAGTGAGAGCAGCTCTTACCACATACAATGTGCTGGTGGCAGAGCTGTACTGCTCACACCTGGGTGGGCAAGGGCTTCAATTGATTGATTTGTTTTCTCTACTTCTGCATTTTTTAAATGGGCTGGAAAGATCTGAAGTGCTCACTATCACTTATGGAGTATGAGCCGCAACATCCACAGTTCCATGAGCTCCTTGGAGCCTAGAAAACGGAGCAAGAAGTCTCTTGCCATCTAAATTCAGGGGATTGAAGTTTCCAAGTGTGAAGCCAAATCATGCTGTACCACTAGTGGAAGGAAGCATGTTCTCTGTGGGCAGCTCAGAGCAAAGCTGCAGCTCCAAAATGCCCTTTGAAGGAGCCCCTTCTCTGTCCAAGGGGGCATGGAGAGTCCACAAGGATCATTCCCCTTGCCTGGGAGAGGTCCATACTACCACAGTCCTCCCTGTGCTTTATCACCTTCCCTCCTGCACTGATGTGTACAGCTAAATGAAGAGTTAAAAGACAAAATGCAGGAGAAAGGGAGCAGAATCATGTGGCTGCGTTTAAGTATTCTCCAGCAAGCAGCTCATAGTTCTGTGGTTCCCTTTAGTGTTTGGAAAAACTAAAAGCTACTTATTAGATGGGAAAAGGCAGTAAAATATGACTGTAAGTGAACTCAGATATGGTGCTCAGACATCTAAAACATCCTTTATGGAATTTATTTTGTTTTAATAGAGGGTTATAAAAGATAGGAAAGGATAATAATTTGGTATTTTATTCTCAGATAATCTAAAAGGTGGGAGGAGAAGGGACTAAATTGTTTTAAGTATCTCTGAAGGAGAATCAGTAAGCTGATGGAGAAGTGGAAGACTGACAACAGAAAATGAACCTGACTTGTTCAGATTCCATCACAGGCATAGTGGGAAACTACAAACAAAAATTGGGAAATTGCATCCATCTGTAGATCCATTTTCATACTTGAATTTTAGTATGAAAATTTAGTATGAAAGTATTATTACTGGAAATATGAAAATTATTTATTTTACAAATTCGCCATGTTGACAACTCCCAGCAAGCCATCCTGTGCACTGCTGTTCTGAAAAATAAACCAAAGTACCACCATTCAAAACCCTTTCCCTAGAAAACTTACTTTCTTTTCAACTGCTTCTGACGTCTTCTTTTTGGGCTCTCATTTTCAGATTCGCTACTTGCCTTTAATTGAAAAGAAAGAAAATCAGGTTGTAGGCTTCACTCTGGACTGACTCCTCAAGGATGCAACTGAAACACGTGCACATGGGCTGAGCCCAGGCCCTTTCCCTGCAGGGCTGGAGGTGCTTTTGAGCGACGGGGCTGTGGCAGAGCAACCGCTCCCCAGCACCGCCGCCTTGGTGAAGGAGGAAACTCTCTGCAGAAGCCTGGAGAGCTCTATCACACCACCTATCTTGGTGTGCAACACCCCGTGGATTACAAACACACAGGGTGAATCTGTCCACCAAATGAATTATGATCTAGAAATTGATTATGATTTCTAGAAGGAAGGAAATTCTCATAAAAAGACAACATTCTCATCACAAGAGTGTCCTTGCTTTGCTGTTGGCTTTTTTCTCCCATAGCCAAAGTCACTGAGGACCTGAACGGGTCAGAGCCATGTCCTGCTGCTTTCCCTCCTCCTAATCCTGCAGTCTCACCAGTGAGACTCTGGCTAAATATATCTACAGCTATTCTAACTACTTGCTGTACTATTTTAAATGGGCGTCATTAACTCCTACAGACCAAGATAGCTAAAAAAAAAAAGTCTTTAGGCTGGTTGTACACAACCCCATTTTCGTAAAAACTAGTCAACCATGAAAACTGATTACCACACTTGCCCCAGAAAACACAAATAGCTAGGGACAAAACTGAAGAAACCCATGTGAGATTTCTAAATGAGTATTAAGATGACAGAAGTAGCCTCCAAGGCTGCTTTCTCCACACACTGGAAATCTTCCACTTCAAACTGCTTTTTGCTGCAGTATTCATCTTTGGCTCTAGGTACTGTCTGTCCATCACCACGGGTACCTCAGTTTGCATCCCCTGACACCCTTACACAGCTTCAACTGAAAGCTGTTCACACGAGGATTTTGTGAAACAGTACGAGCTGCAACATGAAAAAGTGGAGGTTCTGGAGAGCCATGGCTCACCCCTTTGTCCTCTTTCTGCACCCTTTATTTCTATTTTCCAGCTTTCCTTCCACCAACAGAAATTTCCCTCTCACTTGCACCAGTGTACCCGTTAAAATACACTGAAACACTGGATGCCACCTTAGACCAAGAGCTTCTCTGCATTTCACTGTGGTTTGGTGTCAGATTTGCAAGTGACACAACACCACCTTTTGCACCATATCTCACTACAAACACGAGTTGATCCACCTGTTTCACGGCCCTGTGTGAAATCCCTGCCTCATTTACGAAGCATCCAGGAAGCAAGTGACTGGCAAACACCACGGAGAGCCCTACCTACCCTTGCAACACAAGCCAAGCATTCCAGATTTCAGTTTTGGCAAGCAAAAGTCCTCAGTTTCCTATTATTCTCTTTCAATCTCTTATCTGCTTTCTGAAGCTTTGCCATTCCAATTTGGCACGATTTTTGAGATCTGTCCCTCAGCGCACGTTTACTTTTTTCCGTCCTTTGGCAAGCCAGAGGGAAAGAGAGGTGGATTTCTCTTCTGCTCTGTGTCAGAGAAGATCCTATTTGGAGAAAACCAAATACAACCTTCAGTTCTTTGAAACTAACTCCACTTCTTTGCCAAAATCCCATTTTTCAGGTTTCTAGTGTGCATTTTCCTAATGCCTGTACTCTCCCCCTGCTCTGTCACTGTCTCTACAAAGCTGATGACAATCACTTAACGACTCGCCTTTTCCTCCTCTCTTCCTCCTTGAAAAATTTAACTTGTGACTGCAGCTCAACTGCCTTCAGTTACATTTTTCAAAAACACCATTGTCTGTTTTGGATGTGTGTCAAGCCCAGCAATATCTCCTCTGACACAGCCAGTCCCCAGCCTGAGTCATCTGCCTGACTTGTGCTCCCACATCACATCCTCCCTGTCCCAGTAGAGTGCCAGGAAGCACTGTGCCTGCAGCTCCTCAGCCTCTCCTCCCTGCTCCCTTACCACCAACCCTGTCTCCTGGAAGCAAACTCCTTGGTTAAGGAAGTGCGGATGCAAAGCAGAGAGCTGGGGGAACGCCAGGTCCAGAGCGTGCACCTGAGGTCCCATCTGCACTCCAGCTGCCACACACCACCATCAGGAAGCAGACTGGTTGGGAAATCACATGCAACTTGAATTTTAATAATGTCACCTCCCTGAATGATACAAGCTAAGCCAGCAAAGTCCATCCCCAGTCCCCAGTGGGATTTTTGTCAGCCCAGCAGGACATGCCAGGGGCACACTGCTCGCCCTCAGAGCCTGAGTGCCAGCGCTGGGCTCCAGCTGCCCCTCTGGGTGCTGCCACCGTGGCCAAGGGGAAAGATGACTTGTCTTCCCTTGTTCTCCCCTTCCCAACCAAACACTACAAATGTGCCCAACTTATTTCTGCACCACTACTTCCAACTGGACTAGGAAGTGGAAAACAAAACAATTTGTTTTCCCCACCTCCAGCTGAAGGGATCAGCCTTCCCTCTCTATGCCTCGCTGACTCTTCACATCTAATTAATTCTCTGTCCCAGCACATAAAGTGCATATGATTTTACTAGATTAATTAGGCAGCATTTTGCCACGGAGCAACACTGTACAAACGTAATGATTCTGCATATGTAGCACCAAGCAGAGCAACACAGCAGCAGTTTTAAAGTTCTTTTCTTTCAGATTGTCCATAAGTGTCATTACTAGCACAGGGCATCAGAAATGGAGTCTCCAGACCATTGGAGAGGAGGGCCAGGTGAGCCTCTGGAGCTCACGCTGCCTATTAGGAGAGATAAAGACTTGCTTAAACAGAGGCAAGAAATATTTCAGACTACAGTCAAAGTGAGAATTTGCTCATTTCAAGCTTAACAGTGGTCATGCTCTAGTGCTCCAGAAAAGCTGGAGAACCTCAGTTCACCAGGTTAGTCTTATGGCTGCTGAATTTCTCTTTCCTAGTGAGACCAACAGTGTCTGAACTTTCAGCAAATACATGAGGCAAAGCATTGACCAAAATGCAAATGAGCAGATTTTTTTTTCCAATAATAAAACCAGCTGTATTTTGAGAATGCTCTGGTGCATGTCTTGTGGCCTCTCTCTCTCACAGAAAAGATGCACTGTGACATTTATTACTAACTTCAATCTGAAACCATCCTTTTCAAAGTAAAAAGATTATGTCTGTTTTGGGCACATTTATTTCTTGACTGCCCCAGAACAATGGAATTATAAAATGGTTTGGGTTGGATGAGACCTTACAGACCATCTCATTTCAACCACTCTGCCATGGGCAGGGACCTTTCACTAGACCAGGTTGCTCAGAGCCCCGTTCAGTCTGGCCTTGAACACCTACAGTGATGGGGCATCCACAGCATCTCTGGGCAACCTGTGCCAGGGCCTTACCACCCTCACAGCAAAGAATTTGTTCCTTATATCTAAATTAAATTTCCCCTTTCAGTTTGAATACTCTGAAAGGCACCTGGCTTTGCACGCCTCACATCCTCTGGCTGAAACCTGAAGCTGATTTATTAACTGCAAAGAAAATGCCTGAGGAAGTAGTGTTTTTACTAAAAAACTCACACATGCTCTTGTTCCTGGAGACAGCTCTAGTCTTCTGAGCAGCTCTGTGCTCTCATGCACAGCTGCACTTTTGCTTCCCAATGGCTCAGCCCACGCCTGGGTATTGATCACGAGTTATCACCCTCTCTGATCACAGCTCGGGCACCTACACAATCTGCCCAGAAATCCCCAGAAGGTAACCATTTCTAACACACAAATAACCTACTCAAAGTGCTGCTCTCGGAGGACACAGTGATTGAGCAGTGCCCCAAAACCTGAACCACCTCCTCCTACGCGCCATCTCCCTCGTGCAGGTGAGTCACGGGGCAGCACGTGGGGAGCTGTGATGCCTCATCCTTGCTCTGGTCTCTGAGCCTGCCACGCTGCCTGGGCGATGCTCTTTGCTAATCTGCAGAGAAGCATTAGGGAAGAAGGCAATTACAAGCTCCCAGACACTGTGCTGGAAGTCCCAAGCAGCAAGAGACAGGAGCAGGTTACTGGTGACAGGATTAACCCTGCAAAGGTAAAAAGCAACCTTGAGAGGTGTCAAGCGCCTTGGGTTTCTGCCAGGTCCAGCAGCAGCAAGGAGTGCTCAGCACCACACAGGCTTGAGCGACATTATTTCCTCCCTCTTGGTGTTTAGGTCTTCCAAAAGCAAGACTTTCCATGTCCTCCTGCTCCCTGCGAGGCCCCAGCACTGTGCTCCTGACACGTCACACCCTCCATCGGACTCTGCTGCAGATGGGAGCTGCCCTACGAGGACGAGTCAGTGTTGCTTTGGGGAGAGAGAGGGGAAGGGGGTGATCCAATTTTGTTAATTTTGGCTTTCTGTGTCACAGAAGTTGGAGCAGGGTCATTTGGAGGGTTGGGGTTTTTTTTTGTTTTTTACAATATTTTGTGGTATAGCAAAGTTTTTGCATCTCAGATTTTTTTTTTTAACTTTATCGTACCTTAAATAGTAGCAAATAAAGATATCCAAAAAGAAAACAACATTTGCAAAACCACGTAATATTGTAAAACAAACAAAGATGGGACTTACCTGAGCCCCTAAGAGGGCAGTGGGGTGTGCAGCGGAGGTCTGAGGTGGGTGTGACGTCGCCGGCACAGTGCAGGCGAGCCTGGCCTTTGCCGAACTTGAAAAGGAAAACAAAAGCTACGTCAATGGTGTGTCCCAAGCCCCTTCCTAACCTGCTGCTCTGTGGGACGTCCAGCACAGGAGTCTGGGGGGGCAGGTGGTGGCACTGGGGGTGCCACAAGGCTCAACAATAACACACCAGAGCAAGGAGATCGAGACCTGTGTTTGCCGTGCGACTCAGACCCCTCGAGAATTCAAATGCACGTTTTGGTGGTGAAGCACAAACAGCCGGAGTCACATAGTACCACTTGGCTCCTGCTCTGCTGAAAGTCTTGCTACTTATATTCAGATTCCTCACCCTAAGCCCCAAGCTTTTCATGGAAGCCTCTTTCTGGTTCCCTTTCCCCTCTTCTACAACTACTTGACCTTCCTGAAGACCTGCAGATTCAGTGCCCCATGTACAAACCCTGTTAGATGCAAATGAAGGTGGCAGCTAATTCCTACATCTTAAGAAAAAAACAATGTTCTAAAAAAGGAACAATTAGAAGGTTTGGCTGCCAGGCTCTGACCACTGTCACCTCCAGCTGAAGCACAAATACTCCCCAATATTCAGTCAAAGAAAAGTGATGGCTCATAAAGCTGCAGACACGCAAATGCATTTATTAGTGGGATCCATTCCAGTATGGGCAACAATGACTGTTTTGTTGCTCTGAGGTGTTTCTGGGAACTTTCCTTTATTCCTGGTTGGATTTGTGTTGGGTTTTGGTTTTGTTCTGTTTTTTTTATTACACAGACTCATTCTCTCCAGGGTATTCCTACAGCAGAGCATGACTTGCATTACGCCCCGTTCCAGTAATCAGATCAGTGCATGCAGATCTCAGCCCACGCAGTGTCCCGCTGACTCCAGAGGTCTCAGGCCAAGAGGATGCAGCTGCAGGACTGGGACCTCAACTGTGAGCTCCAACAGCCAGACACCAAATTAGGACTCAGAGTGTATAAAGCAATGCAGACGAGACCTCCCTTGGCTCTTTGGGTTTAGTTGGTTTTATATGTTCAGTAATCCCTCATCCTTTTTTTTTTCCTTACCTCATCTTTTATATTAAATCGTGACGGTTCTTGTCTGCTTCGGTTTGACCTCCTAACCCCATAAACATCAGGATATTCTTCCCACATCTGCAAAATAAACAGACCATCAGAAGGCCTGCTTCACCCCAATTATTTCTCACATTTTTGAGAAGTTTGATGGTGTTTTAAAAAAATGAACATATACCCATTAGCAACCAGTAGACGGACACTTTAAAAACTGGCTGAAAAAGATTATTATTATTTTGGGGTATTTGGCAAGACTCTAGAGCAGCATGTTTTATCTCAGTGCTATCTTTACAGTGGTCCATGTTTCCACCAAGGTACAAACCACTCTCCAGCACACTGAGGCTGAAGTGTTGAGGCAGCCAGCCCCCTGCAGCAACAGTGCCAAAGGTAAGGAGGCATGTGGAATGAATGGACCTACCAATTCAACAGGACAATTCTCTGCTAACAGATTCCAATCACAGTTCCTTTCCAGACAGAAAACCCAATCAGCTGCCCGGAGACACTGCCAGTAGCAACCTCAAAAGTGAACTCTGTGGCCCAGCCTGGGTGACAAACTGAGCAGGGCACCCTGTACTTTGGCAAGGCAAAGTGGTGGCTGCTGGTTCCTCTCCTGAATGCACTGATGAGAACATGGTTTGGCAGCACAGGACATGTGGATGTGGAGAGGTGACTGCTGGGAATGGTTGTGCTCTGTGTGTTGTAATGAGGCTCTCACCAGTTTAATTTACCCTGTGTAGCAGCATGCAATTGTTCTTGTGGATGGACAGGAAGAGAAGGGGGAGACAAGAACAGATGCCCTAAGGGGTGTGAATGCAGAGCTGTGTTGGTGACACAGGACATCAGAAGAGCTACAGGGCAGATACAAATCACCACATATCCCTCAAACACCTACAACAGCAATTCCTCTCTCCCTCAGCAGAGCTCATCCTGTTAGTTTTCTAAATCTATTCATTCTCCTTCTTATTCTCTCTCCCTCCAGTCCTCAAATATCTCTGCAAGCCACTGGCAGGAAAAGGAAATCAAAATACACTGCCAGATGAAGCAGTGATTGGGATTGAGAGCGTGATGCACACAAGGCTGCAGCCCAGCAATTTTTCCCTGCCTCTGCTAAAAGAGTAATGGGATAATGGACAGACTGTGAAGGTGTGTGTCTGCTGGGCATGCAAGTACAGAGATAAATTCACATGAAAGAACAAATCAAAATACTCCCAAAACCATTTGAAGAAATTATCTTTCCACCTATTACATGACATGGGTTTTGAATATGGGATCAACTCCCATGACAAATCTAAACAGCACCTAACACAAATTAACCTCACCTTCATGGGTGTATCTACACAAACATCAAATAAACAGTAATATAATAATTAATTACATTGGTTATTCAAAAGGAACAGCTATCAACACGCCTAGGTTAGGCCTAGCTAAGGAAAACATCCATTAACAGAGAAATTAGGAAGGGAGAGGCTTTCTTATTAGAGGCTGCCCTGACCTTTTCATGTTTCATGCTAATTATCACTCTATGTATGGATGTGCTTCCTCGTAGGATAATGTTAACATTTATTATTAGGGACATGCTTGTAGAAGCCCTCAAAGGAAGAGAAAACTTCCTTTGGTCCTCACTTATCAACAACAAATCAGAAATTTTAATATTGCGTTACCACAACTGCCTTAGAAATGCACCCTCCCTTGCCAGTCTGAACACTGGAGGGTTTAGACATGACCTGAACCAGCAGCCTGGAGATTTGCGAGAGAGAGAAACTGGTAACAAAATCCTTCACTTCTCCCTGGCAGGTACATGGGGAGCACAGGCTGGAAGCACTGCTCTTCCTTCTGTCTTTACATATATAGTAACTTTCTCCAGAAGCAACCTGTGTGCAGTGCAAGCCACAGCTAAGGACAACTGGATGGTTACACACCCCAAACAAACAAACAAACAAACTGACCTAACCTGATTTTCTTCCTTCCAACTGAACTCAGTTCACTGAGTTCCTGCCTCCAAATGGGTATTTGGGCTCCTCTTTCTCACCTCACACTACATCATGTTACTCAGGTGCCTCCACCCCTCAGGCAAAGCAGGTACCAGTTTCTGCACTGGGAGATGCAGAGGGACACCAAGTGCATTAACACCAAAAATCCCATTTTCTCCTGGGCAGCAAGTGGAAGGAAAACCTGGCTATCTGAAGGGGGTATCTGGGAAGCTGAAAAAAAAAAAAAAAAAAAAAAGAACCACTGTTCTGGACATATTAAACAATAGAAGTTAAATAGCTTTTTTATTCCTCCTTTTTTTTTCTATATTTTTTTCAGAGCAAGACAGTGATGTAAAAAAAAAAAGTGGACCAAACACTAGACAAGCCTTCTCCACTGCTTCTGAGGGAGGGGGGAGACGAGTGGAAAGACAGAGGGAGAGGATGAAATGACAGGATCCCGTGTTGATGACAGGCACCTGCCTCTCATTCACCAGTCAGCCCCATCACTGTCTACCTCGTGCCCAAAGAGTTGTTCCACAAACACACCAGCTCCTGCTCACAAGGGTGACATCAGCAGGGTTCCAGCACACAGACCAAGCAACCAGAGAGTGACCTGGGGACACCGGAGGCCAGAGGCTGTTTGGTCCATGTGCAGAGTGGCTGGGAACTGGAGACAGCTTTGTTGGGGTCCTGCTGTCTGACCTTCCATGGCAAGGATGGCAATAACGTGCCTGTGCAGAGCAGCAGGGGCAATACCTTTTTAACATCTGCTATCCTTTCCTTCTTAGAAGCTGGTTTTTCTTTGGTTTCAGGAGGGGTCTGCTGGGATTTGGAACCCGTTGATTCACTTTCGGATTCAGACTGACTCTCAGAGGACTCCGAGCTGCTGTTTGATTCGCTGCCCTGCTCGCTTTCAGACTGGCTTGCAGAGTCAGAGCCAGAGGCTTCTTCGGATGCCGAGTGACTAATGGTAGAGAAAGAAGAGATTACATTTTAACTGTACTGTCGCAGCCTTGAAATATGCAGCGAGCAAACCTGAGACATGTCCAAGCCGCAACAACAGGCTTGGAATAGCCTAAATGTTAAGTGTGAATGCTGTCCTGAACAGACACCCTGCAATGGCATTTTGCAGCAGTGGCAATTCCTTCCCAGGACTGGCAATGAACACTGGGGTGAGAGTGCAGCCCCATAAATCCTTGTCCAGGGTCTCCTGTTCATCAACAGAACAAAACCAGCAGTGGTACCATGGAGAACAGCATTAGTAATACCACAGGTAGTCCTGTGAGGATCTGGTTGTCTTAGAGCAACCAAGAGCAAGGTTATTTTGGGAGCTGGAGCATCTGGAGACCATCCTGCTGTATTAAAGATAAGCACTTGATCCAGCATGGCTCTCCACTGCATCCTAGTATAGCCACTAGTTTAAAAAAATCTGATATCCAATTTCTAGAAGAGGCCAGTACTGAATACTTTACCCATAACACCATAAATTATATTAAATATAATGTTTCTTGCAAAAAGAATAAATTCAGCAATGGAACAGCAGAAAGGAGTTTATATGGGCTTGTGGATCAGGTAGCTCCTGTTTAAAGGATTACACCAGTGATGTGCAGACTGCAGTTCTCAAGCCAATAATGGGAGAGCAGAACATCAAGTAGGTGTATTTCCCCCATTTTTTTTAATCTTTACATTAAAATGGGTTAACACACAGAATATTCTCTTAAATAAAGGCTTGCCAACAAAACAATGAGAGGCCAAACTATTTCATGTGGTCAAAATATTCCAATACCTTTGCCCAATCACTTCAAAATCTATTTTTTCATTTAAAATCCAATAAAGAAAACTGAAAACTCAGTACACCATATCAGACATGTGCTAGCAAGGCAGCATTCGAACCCCTCTATCACAAACAAAAACGCAGTGTGGTGATGATGATACTACAATCTTCTAGAATTAGGAGCATCCCCCCTTTCCCAGTGTGTGTTTCATTGGCAGCTGGATGCTTTTGTGATATTTAAGAGGTTACTTAGATGAAACATTATGAAAGAAGAGTCAGGAAAACTTTGCAGAGTGAAAACAAGACTTTTATTTTTCTTTTACTTCTGTACAAAAGTAGCAAGGTACATCAAAGGCTTTGCTCAGATTTCAGGATTCAAGGAAAAAATAATAAAAATGAAGAAAAAAAAAAAGAAAAAACCCATGAGCACAATTACATACAAAGCCACAGGGATTAATGCGCGCTATGGAGACAGATCTCTAGACCCGGCTACTTTTCCCGGGGTCCACCACATGCAGATAGGGCTAATTCACACCACGACAGCACACCTTCCACTCTCAGATAAAACAAACCCGTGCAATGGAACGCGTGAGCCCCGGGCCCGTCCCCGCCGTGCCCCGGGGCGCGGGCAGGGGGCAGCAGCACCCGCGCGGGTCCCGCCCTCAGGCGGCGCCGCGGCCGCCATTTCGCGGCCGCCCCTCCGCCGCCATCTTGCGACCGCGGGGCTGTTCCCGAGCACTGAAATGGAAGCGCCTGGCGTTGCCTGGGGGAAAGGGAATCCGCGGGGAGAGGGGCTGTCTGAGGCCGAAGGGCCAGAAACGGAGGCCCTTCCGCAAGGAGCGGGGGGAGGCATCACCTATGGCTGCTGATCCACCACCCCAGCCTGGAGGTATCGCATCGCTGCCTCGAAGCAGGGCTGGAAATTCAGGTTGAGCCACAGCCATTCCAGGCGGCCCAGTCCTTCCTGCGTGTCCCTGTCCATGGATAGAAGCTAACCACGATAACCAAAGGCACAGCTCCACGCACAGTATCCCACTGCATCACTCGTTCTACGATCTCTACAACAGTCCCCTCTTTTCCACCACAGCCCTCCATTGCTACACACGTAACCTGTGGTTGTGCCACCCCACTCCAGGGAATGACACTCCAGCAGCTCTGGGGACACTTGGTCCACAGGCAGGGCTCGGCAGGACACCATCCCACTGAGCCTCCTGCACGGATGGACGCTTGGCCTCCACAAAACAATGGGATCTGGAGGCATCCAAACCTCTACTGTCACAACAGAAAGCAGCAACTCTGGTTGAGTCATGCTAATGTCCCACGTTCCACAGGGACACACAGAAGAGGAAGAGAGTTTTTCCTTCCATCAGATCTCTTAGCAATAGATGGAAGGAATTGTAACAGCCCAGGCTAGACTGAGGCCAGGCAGCTTTGGCAGTATTTGTTTAGAGGCGGAACAGTAATTAGTCTCCTCCTCCCCTTCTGGAGCTCTTTGTTCCTCAAAGCCCTAAGCTTTATTTCAAGGACATCTGGACACAGGCTCTCTGCACATCAACAGCCGTAATTCATGTGCTTTATCCACAACGTTATCTGAACACTAATTCTTTTTTTTTCAAGCTGTGAACTGTGTCATCTGAAAAGAGGGTGACTTCTCTAGAGACATACACATCTGCATGTGCAGGCATTTGCCTGCACACGTGCTTGCCCTACTAAGGAAAGAACCATAGATGAGAAGTGGTTACGTCCTTCTGAAGGCTGTAGCAAATAATTTATTTTTTTTTAATAAACAACTTGGAAGTTATCAAGACAAAAGAATGTGTGTTTGTCTTCATTTTTCCATTAACAGAATAAAAAAAGACAAATGAAAACGTTATTTCCATAAAATAATCCTTTCTAACTGTCACTGGGACAATCAGGAAGCATTCCTACCTGCCAACAGAGTATAAAATATTAGCAACATTATATGTCAAGTCAGGCCTTCCACTGTACATACCCAGAGATCCAAGTCCTATTTTCAGAAGTTATTTTTGGAATATGCCCTGTTTTAATGCCCTTAAGTTAGCATCCAAATAAGACCTACTTTCAATTAAACTGGGAGAGATAAGCTATAATTGATTGTCAAAAAAATCACAATTCAACCAGTCCACCCACCTTCAACTTCAGCAGAGAAACACCCAAGAACATCAGGAAACAGCTGACTGTTGATAACTCCCTAAAGTGAAAAACCCCTAAAAAATTTGAAATCTGCAAAGACTTAGCCAAATACATTACCCTGGTTTCTTAGAAATACTTCAGGCTATAATTCTGTTTTAATTAAAAGCTTGTTCCTGACTTGAGGGGGAAGAAAACCAAATCATTCCTTACCAAGAAGGACACGTTCCTTCCAAGAAATAAGTAGCTGAACAGCGGTGATAAGACCCTTTACAATCAGGCATCTAAGTTTAAAAGGCAATTACAGCATGCCTGAAGACTCCAGACTTTGCATTTAGTATTTCACATGACTTCATTTTATAGGGTATCATCTTTGCTAACAGCAACAAACCATTTTATAAGCTCTCAGCAAGTACAAACAGTAGATATGTTTCCAGAAGGTGTGAGACAGCTGAAAAAATGACCCCAACACACATTTCTGAAACCAAAAACTGACAAAGGAATGGTTCTAACTGGGACCATTCTGCCCCAAAGTTTAAAATGTGACTTTTGAGGGACAGAACTTGAATTAAGCCAGGGGAATAAAGGAGGATTGATGACCCAAATGGAACTCCTCCCAGTTTTAAGAACTGTTGTGAATGTTTTTAATCTAAACAAGTTTGAATTCAAACAGCAACATTCCACTGGGCTTCGCAAGCTCCACAGGGATTTGGCACCAGCAAAACCACCCCGTGAAGGCTCAGGAAGGCCCTTGGCACATTATTCCATGACTGGATAATATCAGAGGCTGGATAATACCAGAAACCGTTATGTTTAACTCCTGTTTAAGTGGCTCTGTCTTCCTAAAGTGACCTCCACGAACTGTGGGGCACAAAGGCACAGTGACAACCCAGAGAAGACGTAAACGCACCGACTGAGATGGGCACCGTGCTGCTGTTAAACATTTCCTTTGAATATTTGAGCTATAAATGTGATGTTCCCTATTATGAAGAGAGACTATTTACAAGGGATAGTGACAGGACAAGGGGGAATGGCTTCAAACTGAAAGTAGGTTTAGATCAGATATTAGGAAAAAAATTCCTTACTATGAGGGTGGTCAAGCCCTGGCACAGGTTGCCCAGAGAGGTTGTGGACTCCCCATCCCTGAAGTGTTCCAGGTCAGGTTGGATGGGGCTCTCAGCAACCTGGTCTTGTGGAAGGTGTCCCTGTCCATGGCAGGGGGGTTGGAACAAGGTGAGGTCCCTTCCACCCCAGGCCATTCCATGATCCTATATAAATGTATGAAATGTCTACATATGTTGCAATACAAACAAGCACCATCAATGTTGATATGTGCACTCAAGTCACAGGGTAGCTGTAGAAAGGCTCCAAACCACATGAACAAACAAGCCACTAAACCAGCCAGGGAGAGGAACACAAGATGATCTCTCACTATAGATCACTGGATAAAGATGGGATAATACAGGTACCACAGGGGACTGAGAAGAACTGCATGGGATCTATCCTTTATCTGGGGTTGGGGAGGGAAATGAGCAAATGCCATAGTAATCATACACAAGGCCATACAGACACAGCACACATATAGTGCAGGAGAGTCAAGTGAAAGACAGATTGTGACACTGAAGATAAATGCTTTCCTAGCTTTTTGAGTTCCCTTGATTTTATTCTGAAAGTCTGTTAAAAAGTGATTGGTGCTTGCCTGTCTCCCAAGGCAAGGAGTTTCTGAGTGATAAGCCTTGAGAAGGTTCAGTCAGTGAAAGAGCTTTTCTCAATTTGTTTCCTGCAGGCAAAAGTAGAAATAGGGGGAAGAGAAAGAAGGAAAATACTTCTTCTCCTGTACTGTCCCTACCCATGCACAGTATTTCTAACAATGATGTCCTCCAAGTAGAGACTTAAAGGAGAATATCCAAAACACAGCCAGACTCTTCAAACTGCTAAAGAGTGAGTCTCAAACAACTGAATGCTCACAGTATGATATGGCCAATTCTAGGCCATGTTTCAAGGGGCACAACAAACCCCATGGTTATAGGGGTGCTCCT